GTGATTTCAAGTAGAACAGGCATCCCTTTGTCCACTGTTTATCGTGTTTTGAAAAATATTGGAAATGGATATGGCATTGAGCACCAGAGAGGCGCAGGTAGGTCCAGAAAATTGACTGTCGGTGACAGGAGGCGGCTTGGTATTCTTGTTTCTAAAAGCAAACGAAGGAGTTTAGAAAACTTAAGGCTGGATATGATTGATAGAGGAACTGTGGCTGTCTGTAAGGAGACAATTAGAACTGAGCTGCATGCAATGGGTTGGCAGAAAAGTCGAGGAATTCCATCACCGATCATGAAACCTGAACAAAAGGAGCGAAGGTTGAACTGGTGCTTACAGCATAGACATTTTAACTGGAACAATGTGATTTTCTCAGATGAAAGTTCTGTGTGGCTGTTTCCCAATGCACTGAAATTTTGGACCAAACAAACTGAAAAACCTTGGGGTGTCATATCTGTGTTAGGGGCAACGCCCCTCTGTGTATTTGAAGGGAATATGAACAGTGAGCAGTACACAGATATTCTCGAGGGACATTTACTTCCATCTGCTCACGTGTTCTATGGAAATGTTTGGATTTTCTAGCAGGACAACGACCCAAAACATCGTTCAAAGCATTCACAGGCCTGGTTTCGGACCCAAAATATGACATTATTAGATTGGCCAAGCTATAGCCCTGACCTAAATCCAATAGAAAATGTTTGGGTACTTATGAAGGAATGTGTCAATAAGAAAAAGTCTGACAAATATTGCTGAAATGAAAGAAGAGGTGGTCCGATATTGGGACAGCATGGACCACGACTTTCTAACTTCTTTGATCAGTAGTATGCCCCGCCGCATTGAAGCCTGCATTGCTGCCAATGGTGACTTGACAAAATACTAACTGTTCACCTGTCTTTGAATCTGGAGTGATGTTCTGCTAATATTCACATTAATACGTGAGTAATGAGTGAATTTTTAAAAAAAAATTACAATCGTTAAATTCTCAATAATTTCTGGTTGTACTGTATTTCCAAAGTATCTATCCACAAATATACATCCAGGCTTGGTTTGAGTTCGGTCAGTGATCTGCATTTCGGGGTTGGGTGCTGAAGTGGTCTCAGTGGAAAGGGACGATCTCCAATAACAGGAGCCTATATTTGCTTCATCATATGTCATACAGGTTCTTTGATTAGAAGATAAACTTATTGTGTTAGGACTAGAGGACTGAATACGTAAATGTTAGTCTGATTCCTTGTTACATCACATTTAGCGTTCGAAAAGAATGACTCTTAGATGATGCCAAACAGTTATTTATTTATCTCTCTCTCTCTCTCTCTCTCTCTCTCTCTCTCTCTCTCTCTCTCTCTCTCTCTCTCTCTCTCTCTCTCACACACACACACACACACGTTCCATTACATAAGTGAAATACAATGTTCATATATATCATTGCTCGATAATTCTGAATTCGAAGGAAACACTATTACATGAATGCATGTAATTATTACATTCGATAAACATTCAACACAAATGAATGTATGTTCTTCTTTTTGTAAGAAAGAATCGTCTAATGCCATATTTTATTCATGTTATTCAGATCCATTTACCACATTAATGCTATCTGTCAAAATGTGAATACTCAGGTTACTTGCACAAGAAGCATTTTCCATGTTGAATGTAGCTATACCCCACGATTCAGTTGGCTGCATTTTGCTTCAGTTACCAGGTGTTCCTACTGACATACACTCAATATCTAGTCTCGGACAGTGAAGTAAAGTAGCGTCTCTAGCGGTAGTCTGAAGACCAGGTAATCATTTTCAATGGCTCTTGGCGTGTCGGGGACATTTGTGTACATTCAGTGTGATTTATGTGTATATCTACTGCCATGACTGTATAAACAAATGTGTTGCTTAAACAAAGTGTAAGGCGTCACTCTAACTGAAGCTGAAGAAACATATTTTGTAATATAGTTGTCAATATGAAATTGGAACATAGTTCTACAAGTATCTGAGGTGGGGTGGATGGTGGGAATATGTGTACCACCTTCAAGGGTGGTTGAATGATGCTTTTTCTAACTGTTTTTAGGTCGTTGAATGGTAATTCTTGAAATATTGTATGCCCACCGGAATGAGTGGTGTTTGAGGAGAACTTTTTATATACTATATAATCAGGGTTACATCATTAGGCGGCTGGGAGGAAATATTACTTGAACTAGAGGTGGGTGGGAGGAAATATTACTTCAACTAGAGGTGGGTGGGAGGAGATATTACTTCAACTGGAGGTGGGTGGGAGGAGATATTACTTCAACTAGAGGTGGGTGGGAGGAGATATTACTTCAACAAGCGGATGGGAGGTAATATTGCTTCTAAAGAGGCGGATGAGAGGAGGTCTTACTTCAACTAGAGGCGGGTGGGAGAAGACATGACTTCAACTAGAGGTCAATGGGAGAGACATTACTTCAACAGAGGCGGATTGGTGGAGACATTTCTTCAACAGAAGCGGATGGGAGGAGATATTACTTCAACAGAGGCGGGTGGGAGGAGATATTACGTCAACTATAGGCGGATGAGAGGATGAGAGGAGACCTTACTTCAACTAGAGGTGGATTGGAGGAGACATATTATTATAATGTTATTGGTCATGCTATATATTTTTACTTCTGTACCTTGTTATTCCCTGTTGCAGTTTGTCTATTCTGTATATTACCCATGCATTTAAGATCCTTGGAACACCATAACATAAAATCGTCATGGGCGTCATAATGAACAGATGACGCCCTTAGTAACAAAACTTTGTAACAACATAAAAATGCCAAGGACAACAACGCAAAGACCACAGTCAGTGAAATAAAAGGCTTGGATAACCAGAAGTGATAATTAAAATCCAAGATGAGAGTTACAGAATTTAGTTTAACTAATATCCGCCTCGAAAGGAGACATTGATCTGTCGGGGTGTTGCCGAATCCTGAGTATTAATATACTACTCCATTAGAGGGCGGTAGGGTAGCCTAGTGGTTAAACCGTTGGCGCGTCACGCCCAAGACCCGGGTTCGATTCCCCACATGGGTACAATGTATGAAGCCCATTTCTGGTGTCCCCCGCCGTGATTTTGCTGGAATATTTCTAAAAGCGGCGTAAAACTAAACTCACTCACTCATTACACCATGACAAAATCAAGGGGAATGTTTAAAGTTTCTTCAATATGATGTAAAGGAGTCCCGTCGTTTCTTTTCGCTTAAGTTATTGTTTTCGTTTTGTATATATAGTAGGGCAGAAAAAAGTAAAAGTAAATTGTAAAGTAAAAGTAAAAGCATTTTTGACGTTTTACATATATTTAAAAGACAAGAAAAACATAACACTTTACATCCGTATTCCTAGTATGGGATATGTATACAGAGACATAGAGGATATTCACACAGAAATCCAAGACAGACCCAACATGCCACTCATATATTACCAGCAGTCCTTGCTTTAATAGGAACTTATGTCGTGGCTGAACCGTTTTGAAATTTCTGAAATCTGTAAATAAGCAACCTAGAGTTTCTCACTGAAATATTCTACGTGATTTCTTTTACTTTTGTGCTACAGTACTGAGGAAGCTATGTCAGGACTGGTTCTTTACATATAGTCGTATATTGTCTCGAGTGTATACTGTTTGACTTACATGAGTAGTTTACTTAGTTTATGATGTTGTAAATTCCACAAGCCCTTAACTCCTTCAGTGAAGTTTGTAGTAGTTTATAATATGCCATTTAACATTGTCAGACCTTAGCACGCGTGTAATGATAATTTCAAGTGAATGACCACATTGTAGGTTTTACAGTTGATCACTATTTCCTGAGGAGGATATCATTGTTGACAATATTGATAAAAAATGTTGACGATATGGTTGATAATTATGTCCTAAGGAAGATTACATCAAGATTGTTAACAACATTGCTGACAATACAGTTGCTCATTATCTTCTAGGGAAGATTGATTATCTGAAGACTGTTGACAATTACATGTCGTGTTTTGTTGGCTGATATTGCTTTAGTGTAAAATACAAAAATGGAATAGTTCTCGGACTTCCAAACATTGCTAGCAACTGTCAATACTGACACTTTATACTTTTAACGTAAATTGCAATTAACAGGCCGATGTATATATGAGAAGTGGGATATATTATCTAAAATTATCGTGTTGATTGATCACATTGGTACACTTACAGTTAAGATCAAATAACTGGAAATACATGTATGTTGATCCTTCTCTGACACTGAGGCGATTTGGAGGAATTATGGCTACTGTGTTAGGTATCTCGTGCCGGTCACAAGTCACGTGATCACTTGAACAGCAATGGGTGACAGAGTTCGACATCTTGACTCTTGTCCAACAGTCAAGTATATTTTAAATGTGATGTCGCCTTTGTCAACAGTGACTTTGTTCGAGCTATGCTTCTGTCCACTCACCAGTCAAAGGTACCCAGTAGGATGAAAGGGTTATGTGACTGTTAGCCTTCTAGCGCCTTTAGACAGCTTGGTTCCATGGTACCCAGGAAGCTGAGAAAGAACTTCTGAGCACCTTGATTTATGAAAATTGAGTGTTCACCTAGGTTATAATGGTAAGTTTACAGCATGGTTTCTGGCAAGGAACAAGTGCACTAGAAATGCAATTATTATCGATATGTCATGTATACTCATGCCAATAATGGTTGTCACCCCCTTCAATTGTTTTAATTGGAGAGGGTGGGGGTTAGGTGTGAGGTGGGGTTGAGGAGGGTCACAACCATTATTGGCATGAGTATATATTGTTATTGTCGTAAGAGGCGACTAAGGGGATCCGTTTGCCAGGCTCGCTGACTTGGTTGACACATGTCATCGTATCTCAATTGGGTAGATCGATGCTCATGAAATTGATCACTGGGTTGTCTGGTCTAGACTTTATGATTTGTAGACCGCCGCCATATAGCTGGGGTAGTTCTGAGTGTGGCGTTAAACAACAAACAAACAGAATGTTATTTTTTCTAATCTATGACCTGTACAGACAATGGGCAACTGTAGCAGTGGCAGTGGCAGTGTTCGGGAGCTGAGCAGCAAGGAGAAGAATGACATCAGAGAGTCGTGGGCGGAGTTCAACGAGGGCAATGTACTGGACAATATAGCTCACCTCTACTACAAGTGAGTTCACAAAACCTCTTCTAGTTTAAACCCTCTTCTTTCCTGTTGGAGGTGGGTGGGGTAGCCTAGTTGTTAAAGCGCCCGCACGTTACGCTGAAGACTCGGGTTCGATTCCCCACATGGGTACAATGTGTGAAGCCCATTTCTGGTGTCCCCCGCCGTGATATTGCTAAAATATTGCTAAAAGCGGTGTAAAACCATGCACACTCACTCTTTTTCAGTTGTGAAAAGCCCAGTGTTGCTATTTGTATGCCATCCTTCTAGCGTGCCAGAAACCAATGCTTGTGGTTTCGAATCCTATATTTCCCCCGATTCTGGTTCTAGGTTTGTCAGCACCAATACCGTTTCCCCATTTTCACAAAAGTGATTAACTGTATCACGTCGGACTCCAATATCATGCTGATACCAAGTGACATAACAGAAATAATGTACAATTCACACATTTGAGACAACTTAACACTTCAGTAATCAGTAATAATTTAAGACGGGACTTTGTGTAAATATGAACCTAAATGAAGAGGATGAGAAACAATTTGGACGTGGATGTTTTCCGTTGGTCCAAAATCCTTCAGTCGTGAAAATTTCACATAGTTTTATGTAAATGTTATACCATTAGCATATACTCGCTGTCTGTATTCCAGTGGTACAAACATGCATTGTTGTTTCCAAGAAGTGTGTGAGCAACTCGCCATGACAACAGATGACCACTAAAAGTCTAAACCTAAGCTACCGGTTTGATCCTATTTAAACTGTCTAGAAGCACTTATAGCATGTAAATATTAATAAAGTAAGAACATTTTATAACAGATCATCTAAGTCTTAACAAATATATGTTTATAATAGAAGATCTGTTAAATAGTTAAATATAGAAATATTTCAAATACTTACATATTACATAGAACTAATTTGACTGACTGACTGAGTTTAGTTTTACGCCGCTTTTAGCAATATTCCAGCAACATCACGGCGGGGGACACCAGAAATGGGCTTCACACATTGTGCCCATGTGGGGATTCGAACCTGGGTCTTCGGCGTGACGAGCCAACGCTTGAACCATTAGGCTACCCCACCGCCCCTATAACTAATTTGATTTGCAAATAGTCCGACTGTAAATACGACTTTTCAGCTAATAAAGGATAATCAATTCTAGATGTACACTTTACAAGCCAACTGAAGTACCAGGCAAACACGGCTCGGAACTAGTCTCCTGGGTCCCCCTCAGTTCTGATAACCTCATATTTCACCGATAACCTATACACACAGACAATGACACAGTGGCCCCATGTGTCCAAGTCTTCGTGTAGGTGTCAGGTGATGGAATTGGTTTTGGACACGGGGATTAAACCCTGTACAGAGATAATGCTTGTCGGGTACATCTACCTAAATGTGGGTCCCAACATATCGAGTTAGTTGGTTAATAGGTTAATAGGTGATCTTTGTCACTGACCATAAAGATGCATGCCTATTTGATAGAATTTACGTACATGAATTATCACCATAGTTACAATATATTGATTATGTAAGGACTGTTGTATTAAATATTAAATATTAAAGACATGACGCAAGTAGCAGTCCAATCAAATTAAATATTTGCAGACGCAATCATTTGGCAAATTATTGACAATGGGAAATAAGGTATGACGTCACTTCCGACACGAAGCTACAGAAGCAAATTGGGCAAGATATTTAATTTAAAAGCTTTGATCAGCTTTTACAGACGTTCTATCAAGACATTCCTTCAATATATATTTAGATCTTCACTTACATAATCATCGTTTACAACAAAGTCTATAATTCTATGAAAACTGAACATAAATAGCTATTGAAATGGCCAAGGTATGACGAAGGCCTCTTTTCTCCCACGGGTTAATCTAAGAAACGGTGTAAACATTTAGGTATCATTGGACAGTTATTCATATGAATCATAACTGTATTTTAAAAACAAATTGTGTGTTTGGGTCTTGTCCTTGAATAGGGATGGCAAAAAGGTGATTGAAAGATTTCAGGAAGTGTTTGAACATTCCGATATTTTCCAGTCCGATATTTCAAAGTTTTTCTTCACTTTAAGTGACAATAAGCGACACTATCTTGTCACGTCCCCAAAAATATATAACATTATCTTCACTTATTTCATTTAAACTATGACCACAGCGATAGCTTGACTTAATCTAAAGTGACAACATAAGTATGGTGGCTGATTAGGGCCATCGCTTTCTCGTCTCGTGCTATCGCTTTCTCGTCTCGTGTTATCGCTTTCTCGTCTCGTGATATCGCTTTCTCGCTTTCTCGTCTCCGAATTTTAAGGCGAGAAAGCGATGGCCCTAATCAGCCACCATACATAAGCGATTTTAGACATAGGAACGCTATACGGTAATGACGTATATTTGACCTGAAGTATATTTGTGTGCATGAACCGTGTATGAATACGGTCAGAAGGAGCTTTTGAAGGGCATAGTTACCAGCTGCAAACTGTCAATAATACTTATCTAGCATGGGTTTCAATGGCATGAATGTCGTGATTGGGGACTGATACTTTACCTATATGCGATATTCTTTGTCGACCCATCACAATTGATAAGAGGCTGGATTATGACACTTCACAATCGGGTATCCAGGTGGGGAAAATAATCTGACAAGGCCATTGACAGCTTATGCCCCTGTAGTCGCAAATACTCGCCGTACCGACTTCTCAAGCGAGGGTGATACACGGCCTAGGTTAAGAACACTTCAGTTTCTGATGGCCGTGTTGGGTAATACATTTATAGGTACAGAGCACGAAAGAAATATGTATTCACTTTTATTTCTAAAACGTTACTCGGTCACTGACCAGGAAGAAAAGAATGTTAGGCCTTTCATTTTGTCTGACAGCGACGTTCCTTAGAAAACATGGCATGGCTGCACTCTGAAAAGTTGTGTGATCTTTGGTTTTGATGTAGTGACCCAGCAGGGCTGGTATTCATCACGGTTATCAATTGGATTAAATGTCTTTGAAACCCATGGCTTTCAGTGTAACTAAACTTTGGCTTTGAGACAGAGAAACAAATATATTAGCTTCTATTCAGTTACGCAGATCTGCACGTATATATTTGTGTGCCTTTTGTGTAGTTTAGCAATAAAAAGACTACACACTGTCGGTAAAGAAACAAACATTGTTATAGTATGAATGGGAAATTAGGGATTTGGGGGAAGGGTAGCCCGTGAGACAATGTCAGAAGCATACTCAAACAATCTGATTTGGGCCTCCACACGAAACACTGAGAATTGTGTGAACAGGAGATACAAATTGTAAGCATTATGCTGGTTTTGCCACAATAATATATAAGATATTTTACCTGTGAAGATCCGAGTTAGAATTGGCTTTCAGCAACCCATGACAGTCGTGAGAGGCGACTAAAGGGATCGGCTGGTCAGGCTCGTTGAATTAGTTCATACATGTTATCATATCCCAACTGAGTAGATCGATGCTCATGATGTTGATCACTGGATTGTCTGGTCCAGACTCGATTATTTACAGACGTCGCCATATATCTGGGAGATTGCTGAGAGCGACGTTAAACAACAAACAAACAAATAAGATATTTTTGTTCCGCACATTGGCGCCCTGAAGATAATGAGTTCAAACACACACAAAATTTGGAACCTTCGTTGTGTTCAGCTGTCTATCTATTCGGTTTGCACTGCCTTCCTGAATGGTTCCACAGTCCACTGTGTTTATATATGGGTGTATCATTTCACAGATACCTGAGAGTATTGCAAAATGTTCCAAACGTGTTATCTTAAGTCACGATATGGCTGAAATACTGCCGCTGTGACTATAAACTTTAACTCACTCACTCACTCCAAACGTGTTAAAAGCACACGCTAAAACATTTTTTCACGTCGATTTCAGATTGTTCGGTGATCACCCAGAAGCAAAACAATTGTTCAAGTTTTCGAAGGATAAAGATTTGTCCAACGAAGAAATGCTGAAGAACAAACAGTTCCGTGGTCATCTGGAAAGCCTGGTTGCCGTCCTCGGAAGTGCGGTCAACGAGCTTGATGACCTCACAGAGGTTGGGAAAGACCTCCAGCACCTTGGGGGAAAACATTATAACTACGGGATCACCATGAAACAATATTCGGTACGTGAAATTACTGTGGTTTGAGCGGTACATAGTGGTATTTGAATGTGTTTGCTGCCTTTGTGAGGACCGATGTGTATATTTGGGCAATGCACTGATCTACATCATCTTAGAGGTTTTTAGACTTTACGGATGAAATGACATTCAGTCTCCACAGACTCTTTACTCCCATAGAATCTCTTTCTGAGGACACTTGCATAAAGGTTAGGTCCTGAAGAAGCCTTGAAGAACCTTGACCGCGATTCTATGTGAAAGGTAGGAGGGTTATTGAACAAATATGATGCAAGCTCTTCAATACTATTCGGATATTTTTCTTTATAATTTCGAAATCAGCGAAATAAAACATATAACATAAAAGTTGCCTCACTCATGCTTTCTAAATACATTGACCTGGATTTTATCTTTTTCACTCGGAACCCACCCACATCCCCAGACCCCACCCCCACCCCCCATTTCACTGCGACTACGAGGTACAGAAAGAAATGAGACATGTTGGTCTGAATGGTTCGATAATTCGGACAAAGAAGTTATGCTGACGCGAAGCGATTTTCAAAGCAAATGTCCTCAGATCTCCACACAGAGATTTAGGGAATCTGAGTAAAAGATTTTAATGTGACCTTTAAACTACTCCCCATTTTGAATTAAAGAAGGAATTCATATAACGAGACACGTAAGTGTATTTAACATTTTTTGAGTTAACGAAATTGCAACGCTGGTATCGTTGATCTCTCGTGCTTCCTTCCATTCAAGTGAGAGGGTATGTAAGAGTGCTTGTATCCAGCGTTAAGTCCAGATAAGCCAGTAATTGTCAAAAGCAAAGCCAAGGTACGTTGAAAAGCCATCTAGCCATTGACCATGCCCCTCCTAACCATTACGTTTCGTATATTACTAGGGAGCAGTTCTCACCATAAGTCCTAGACTAAGGCTTAGTCTCTGAATATATATAATTTTGATAGTAACAAACAAGCCCATTTATATTGAAAAGGAGCCCTAGGGAGACCAGAGATTCAGAGATGGCTTGGCAGTAGGGATATTAATGTGGTTCAGGGACTGTGAGACAGACTACATAAGTCCCAACCTACCTGTAACAAGCAGTAGTTATGTGACACATTCTGCTACGGATCTTCAATCAAGAACATTCATTAATCACTCAGATCCCATTTTTAGAGGGCATGTTCTTTTCGTCAAAGAACCACCAATTGTAAGAACAAGTAGATATGTCAGTTTACTCATTGAAACTGAAATGTAACTCACATGAACTGATTGCAGGGATGATTTAAGGGGAGGTTTTACAAAGCCAATATATTCTGGAGGATATAGCAGAATCACCATTTGATCTTCAGAGGTTCTACAATATATTTAAGAAATATTTATTGTGAAGAAACTATTCATAATGCGTTATTGTATGGCAGCTTGAACGATCTTTTGACTGAACTTATAGAAAATTGGCATTTTACATGCCCAAATATTTTCTCATGTTGCAACGTACCTCTCCTCTCTGCTGGAACATGTTTTTAGGAAACAGTACTAATATCTTTCTATGTTGCAGCACGTGGGCCAGAGTCTCCTCTCTGCTGGTGGTACATGTACAACGTTTAGGAAACAGTACTAATATCTTTCTATGTTGCAGCACGTGGGCCAGAGTCTCCTCTCTGCTGGTGGTACATGTACAACGTTTAGGAAACAGTACTAATATCTTACTATGTTGCAGCACGTAGGCCAGAGTCTCCTCTCTGCTGGACGTACATGTCCAACGTTTAGGAAACAGTACTAATATCTCCCTATGTTGCAGCACGTAGGCCAGAGTCTCCTCTCTGCTGGACGCATGTACAACGTTCAGAAACAGTACTAATATCTCCCTATGAAGCAGCACGTAGGCCAGAGTCTCCTGTACGCCCTTCAGACGAAGCTTCAGGGCAACTTCACCCCTGATCGGAAGAAAGCCTGGGTGGCATTGTACGCCGTCGTCGAAGTTGCTATGAAGTCGGGCATGGAGGAAGCGAGTAAAAAGAAGTCCGAGTCTCAGTCGCAGGAACAGACAGCGTGAGGATCTGGATCTTGGTGCAGGGTGTCGATCTAATATTCGATAACAGATATACTTTTAGAGCACAGCTACATACCCTCATCCAATAAGAGTTCGTCATCTGGGTCACGTGAAGTACAATAATGCCACATTTTATACAACACTGTTGGAGCTTCATGTAAATCGAGATTTACACACAAGCATGGGACTAGGATTCGTGAGCCATGAACGAACTCGGCTTTTTGCTGAGCTCGAGTATTTTGATGTGCTTTACGATAGAGAAACAGTGACAGTGCTGTATCGGGGAAAAGAACAGTTATGAGGACGTACGCGTCCCCAGTGTACTCTGGCAACTGTACCCGTGTTTCTGAAGGAGGTATCGTATCTTGTCCTGCACCAATTACTTAGTAAAGGTCTCCCAAAGAAACACGTCTTGACATCTTCAGAGTGCCCATGTATATATGCGTGAGACTATTCCGCTTACTCTTTAGGAAATGGTCTGTGTAAAATAAAAAATGCTAAACATTCACATGTACAGTATCTTACATGTCCAACATGGTATATTCAAAGACACATTTAGGAACTGAATTAGGTATATGGTTGTTGATGGCCAGAGAAATTCTGTTTCTTTTGTTGAAACCACAAACGTGAAAAATGAACACATTTCCCCAAAAATCATCTTTCGAACTAAAATTGAACCTGAAATGAAATGAAATAGGGCAGCTATGTATAAGTTAGAAGGGACAAAAAGGCCTCACTACTTCACATCAATACTTATCTATTAACAACACCTTCCTTGACCCTTCAACATTTAGAACTTGTTGAGTCAGTGGAAACTGACTGGTTGCAGTTCTAATGTAAGTCCTACACACATTACCCGTTATTTACATTCCCTTACACATTGCATTTGGTCTTCAATATCATTGTATTTGTCCATTGTACATCCGGCCATTCGTATTGCTGTATTTATACTCGTCTGTTACATGCAATTTTATATACAGTATAATATCCATATATTTTGTAATTGTTCAAATGTTGCTTATTAAAAAATATAATTCATTTATTATTACAGTAATTATTTACCGTGGCACATATAGGTAGCGATTGAATCGTGGAGATCTTTCGAAATGATATTGCTAAAGTGGTTTCCATATATAGTATAAAAAACTGATCACGAGTAACATAATTACAGTGAGTGAGTGAGTGGTGTTGTGTTTTATGCCCCAGGTTTACACCGTAGCTGCTATATAAACTGTGTCGGCATGGTCTTGTAGCAAATAAGGGGTTGCATACATGTCAGTCAGTCAGTGGTGTTAACTATGCTCATAATGTCAGTCACTAGATTGTCTGGACCAGATTCGAGTATTTACAGACAGCCGTCATATAGATAGAATATTGTTGAGTGGCGTGTTAAACGACAAACAAGACGAGATGTCATGTCAAATGTGGCTTTCAGCGAGCGTGCATATTTCGCCTCTTGCAGCAATATTCAACCACCATCACGGAAGGGGAAACCAGAAATTGACTTGACACATGTTGCCCATGAAGGGATTTAAACACGGGCCTTTCGGCGTTACAAGCAAACGTTTTGACCACTGTGCTACGCCACCGCCCGGACGTTTCTCGTATCTAAGTTTGTTTGAGTATTTAAGTATACCAACGTGGCCTTACATATAAAGGCAGGGGTCACAGTGTGCTACGGTGTATACTCGAGTAGGTTGTTTTGCGAGAACGTTCAGTCAAGATGTTACCCGTGAAGATCCGGGTTAGAATTGATCTTCAGTAACCTCGTAAGAGACGACTAATGGGATCAGGTGGTCAGGCTCGCTCACTTGGTTGACACGTCATCGTATCCCAGTTGCGTAGATCGATGCTCATGATGTTGATCACTGGATTGTCTGGTCCAGACTCGATTATTCACAGACCACCGCCATATAGCTAGAATTTTTAGCTAACGGTGTAGGGTACTGTTTTTTGGTTCTTTTTGTGCTTTTTTGGTTTTTTTGTTGTTGTTGTTTTGTTTTGTTTGTTGTTGTTGTTTTTGGGGTGGGTGGGGTGGGGGGTGGTTTGTTGTTGTTGAACGCCGCTCAAAGTGTTACTGCAGCTTTATGATAGCGGTCTGTAAATAAACTGGATCAGACAATCACGTGATCAACAGCATGAGCATCAATCTACATGCTGGGCGGGATAAAAACATGCAAGGCATCATAATACCATTCACAGCCTTTTATTTAATCAATTCTCCTTGCATATCTTCCATCTTCTGTAACACATCAATTAACAATACTGGAATAAACAATGTGAAACAAATTTAAAATAGCTGTCAGAAACCACTGTGAACAGATATCTCTGTTTACTATCTGTTACGACGGAGCTCTGATCTGAACTGATCACAAGCGTGTCATAGGTCACAACTGAGATTTCGGAGTCATGTGTGTATTGAGGAACATCAGTATCTCTCGCCACGCATCCTCCTGAGCCGGCAGGTGATGTTCTTCCTCCCCGCCCCACAGGTGAGTGACGCCTACAATGCAAGGGAGGTAACTCAAGTTACGCGTGACCATTGGTAAAAGCCTACAGCTAAATATTAATGCTGATCAAATGTATCTGCGAAAATCGGGATTTTGGCCTGCAGACTTTCCCGTGAAACGAAAAGGAATTCATGATGGTATGTGACACGTTGAAGTCATGCTGTAAGTTTGCTCTGCAGTGACATTTATGTGTTGTACATGAAACTAGCACAGTTACAGTGTGAGGCTCATTTCTTGCAGCTGGAATTCGGGCTTGGACGGGTAACCCGGATACACGGGACGGGTGGGTAATGAGTTGGACCCGGGTACCCGTCTCAATACCTGGACCCATTATGATCATGTGACTAATAGATTAAACAAAGTAATATATTATTATTTCATGATTAAAAGGCTGTATTGGCTCTGAAGATTTAGACATAATTACAGTCACTTGTTTTGAATATAATACATGATTAAGACATTGAAAAACTCGAAATTTTAGCCTCCGAGCTGCAAAATATATGGTCACTTCTTACATAGTTGATGTCAGGAATTAACAGAACGGGTATCCGGGAAGGGTAGGGTAACAAAAGGTGGGGTACCCGAGTAGAAAATTTGGACCCAGCCCTACATGGAATAGTGTTAAAAACTTCCTAAACCTAATACTACCTCAGTTATATGGCCTGTGTTAGTTTGTGTGTTGGCGACAGGTGTTGCAGTTCTCTGACGTTTACTACTTTTTCGATGGGCATCACACAATTGTACCCATGTGAGGAACTCCGGTCTTCGACGTGACGAGAGAATGCTTTAACCACTCGGCTACCCCACCGCCCCTCCCATTCATGAGTGGTGCATATCAGGAAATGACACATTATCAATTTGTCATTAATATATCCATAGCTGTTGGAGTGAGTTGGCTTTGAGAAGGCTTTGAGAAGGCTTTAAACATTATTCCAGTTACATGTGGAGGGAAGCCCGACGCCCGAAGTGATGTAAGTCTCTGAAGTTTACCTCTTTGATGAAACCCATGGTATGGGGCTGACAAACCTAGAAACGCTGACGCGCTCGGATTCGAACCCACAAACATAGGCTTGTGGCATGTCCAACTGACGCAACTCTCTCTATAGGCCTATGGTGAATTGTGGCGCCTTAGATATTATAATGAAACTATTACCTAATTTATCTTGATTCAAAAATTCAAATCTAAATGCATTTACTCTTATGCGAAATGCCCATGTAATCTCACCATTATGGTCAAGAACTTGAATCAGGTCATGAGTGAGTGAGGGAGTTAGTGCTGCAACCTAATTTATGGTAGACAATCCAAAGATAGTTAAGTCCTTTCCTAGCACACGAGAAGGTCACTAACCCGTATCACAAGGACTGGTCTCAGTACTCATCAACTGAGTCCTAATAGTATCCTTAAGTGATAAGGGTTAAGGGTTAGGAGCGGTTGGGTAGCCTAGTGGTTAAAGCGTTCGCTCGTCACGTCGAAGGCCCCGGTTCGATTCTCCACATGGGTAAAGTGTGTGAAGCCAATTTCTGGTGTCCCTCGCCGTGATATTGCTGGAATATTGCTAAAAGCGGCGTAAAACTAAACTCACTCACTCACTGATAGGCACGGTTAGGCATATTGGGTTAACATGTACTTACCAAGTATTTTGTTGTATGATGCCTTACACAGTGGAGAATATGGCGGTTCAATCAGGTGACCTGCCCCCGGGTAGTACACAAAGCGGAAGTTCTTCTTTTTATCACCTGGTATGGCTGCTTCAAGGTCATGCTGCCACAGAGGGTCAACACACAAATCTTCTTCTCCAACGACTATCAATGTCTTAATATCCCGTCGCCAAATCTATAACCGATCATAAAATGTTATCCATGTGGGTAAGATTTGATTACATTCATGCCAATAAAAAGCGACAGAAATCTCAGCTGAAGGTATTGACGTTTAATAATCCTCTGCTGAGCGCAGAATCCACTGTACGACTGTATAACACGCATGTTTTTCAGTAGCTGTCAAAGGGTGATGATTACCGGGTTTGCGAAAAGGCTACCAACTGGCGGCATCCGTGACTATCACATGGAAAAGCCTGTAGATTTTTCACCTAATTTTACATAGGGAAAAAAAATCACTGACATCCCTTTAGTAACAGCATCAAGTGTGTCCTCAAGATAGGAGATCCCGGTTAGAACTGATCTTCAGTAACCCATGCTTGTCGTAAGAGGCGACTAACGGGATCAGGTGGTCAGGCTCGCCGACTGGGTTGCCACATGTCATGGGTTCCCAGTTGCACAGATCGATGCTCATGCTGTTGCTCACTGGACTGTCTGGTCCCGACTCGATTATCTGCAGGCCGCAGACATATGGCTGGAATATTGCTGAGTGCGGCGTAAAACAAGAAACCAAACCAAAATAAGCTTTTTCATATGTCCTGAACTCTCATGTATTGGTTGGAATACCGTACAAATGAGGCCAATGATACATGTGTAGGTCGATGTCCATGAACAGTTGGTTACAATGGGATTCACTCATTCACCCAAATATAAACTAAAGATAACTCTTATTCAACAAGGACTAAGTCAGGCACACAGCACTGATTAATATCTAGGCATTTGTAAAACAAGGGCTCCGGGCCTATGTTTAACAACAGATTGGATAATTTGATCAAGAAGCACCTTTTGTACCCACCAAGAACCGTCTATACCCAACAAGCATATAAACGCCCCGAGGAATGGTGGAGAATGCCTGTGAAATGGGTCAGTTCTTGAAAGAATGACGCGTTAAAACAGAAACATTACTTTCATGAATTTAAAACATTGAGCAAATAATTAAGTACTACCGGTAAGATATGCTCCTTTAGGTTGTACTCCTTAAATGCATCTCTCTGTATCACTCCTTCATCAGTGAATGTGCACTTTCTCACGTCGAACCTAGGGGGAAAATATGTAATTATGAGGGCGGTAGGTGGCCTAGTGAGTACCGCTCGTCACGCTGAAGACCCGGTTCGGGTGCACATAATGCACAGTGTGTGAAGCCCATTTCTTGTGTCCCCGCCATGATATTGCTAGAATATTGCTAAGAGCTGCGTAAAACAATAGTCACTCATTATACTTATGATCCAAACAGTGAATATGTGTTCACACAATTTCCAGCTTTCAGCTTTCTCACTGAGGTTTCATACATGGGCATCTAAATTGTTGTCAACTTCGTCGAAGCAGTAATTCGTGTATCCCCTAGAAAAGCTTGCGCCATTTGTAGTGAGTGAGTGAGTTTAGTTCAACGACGCATGTAACAATATTCCAGCAATATCACGGAGCCTGACACCAGAAATGGGCTTCATACATTGTACCAATGTAGGGAATCGAATCCGAGTCTTCGGCGTGACGAGCGAACGCTTTAACCACTAGGCTACCCAACCGCCCCTTGCGCCATTTGTAACGTTGGCAGTAAAAAGCGAGATCTTCACAATTACGTATTTAGAATAGAAGCAGTCTAATTTATACTTGACGTTGGCTTTCCTTACTTGGTCCCACGCACTGCAATATCGTCAATGTAAATATCCTGGGGGAGCATCATGAAGGGGTTGCCATTGGTGCTTACCAATACTTTCACCTGGAAATATACGACTGTGTTGTACTCAGCCAAGAAGACACAATCAAATGTCTGAAAAATACAATTCAGAGCACCCAATCAAAATAATCTATCTAAACTATGTGACATTTTGACGCCTCATAACGCCGCGAAGTTCCGGGTTAGAATTGGTCGTCAGCAACCCATGCTTGTCGTAAGAGGCAACCATTGAAGATGGGGGTGTTAGAATTGGTCGTCAGCAACCCATGCTTGTCGTAAGAGGCAACCATCGAAGATGGGGGTTAGAATTGGTCGTCGTCAGCAACCCATGCTTGTCGTAAGAGGGATCGGGTGGTCAGGCTCGCTGACTTGGTTGACGCATGTTATCGTTGTATGTTGCGTAGATCGATGCTCATGATGTTGATCACTGGATTGTCTGGTCCAGACTCGAGTATTTACAGACCGCCGCCATACAGCTAGAATATTGCTGAGTGCGGCATTAAACAACAACCAAACCAAACTAAACCTGTCTAACCTTCGAATCAAATCTTCAGTAGACTGGGTACCCAAAGGGGAATACATATATGGACACTTACGCACCACCATCTACTTACATGGGGAGAAAGTGTCGATGTGGTCATACACAGGCTACCTCCAACACAGTGACCGATCATCCCAACTCCACCGCGAGCAACCACCGACTGACCAGCAAGCCATTCAACGCCTCTCTGAAGTTTCAAAATGACTATTAATACATCATAAACTGAGCTTTACGCACATACAGCTTTCCCATTGGACGAGAGGCTGGTCACATGACTGTCTTTCTTTACGAGACTGAAATGACAAGCGATACGTCACATGTGTGCTAGTTTCTTACGACAAGCAGTAGAATGCGGGGAACCTATTCTGCAAAATCTCCGACGTTTTTCTTCAGGCGTACATTCCTTCTGCTTGTCGTAAGAAACTATAATAGGATATTTTTATGGACCCATGCAACTGACAATGACTTTGGCCGCTGGCCTAGGTCAAGTTCACTTTCTTAGGTCCACAAAACATAACATTGCCCTCATAAATGGTCAATAGAATTGATACTATTTTCCTGAAATACGATTCTTAGTGTGTCAGCACCTTACCCATCATATTCGTTTAATTATCTAAGAAGCAAATGTTCTTGACCTGTTTGGTTCTCTGTGTCATATTTAGCAGCGAGAGTGCAACTGTAATATTGTTCAAATCTAACTCACCTATTCAATATAAACAGGCATTAATTTTATTTGATTTGTGAATTCAGAAATACAAACATCGTACCAGGAAATACTTTACATCCAAGTCCTCTGGCTTTTTTGGAAGGTCCTTATAGGCGATGTAGGCCAGAGAGAAGGCAGCGAATCCGTGAGATGCCAGGAGCGCTGCTCTGTAGTCCATGATGCCGCCAGCCATACCAAACACGTCCACAATACCAGGGAACGGACCTTCACCTGGGGTAAGTAGCACAGGTAGTTTCCAGTTAGAACTTCTCATTGCTGAGTGAGTGAGTGGGTGTTGTTTTACGCTGCTGTTTTAGCAATATTCCAGCAAGATCACGACGGGGAACACCAGAAATGGGCTTCACACTTTGAACCCATGTGTGAAATCGAACCCAGGTCTTGGGCGTGACGAGCGAACGCATTAACCACTTGGCTACCCAGCCGCCCCTTCTCATTGCTGTCCGCTTACAAAACATAATGCATACTGTACAGAACGTCATTATGGGAAGAGGTTTTCTGTTGGGAAATCCTAGGCGTGCTAGAAGCCGGCGATAGCGGGTTCGAATCACAAATCATCCTGATTATATGTATTGATGTATCAGCATCATGGCCGGTTTCATTAAAGTGGTAAACAGCAATATAGCCAAACCATTCAAACAGGAATCCCTATAAAGGCCTTTCATAAAACAAAGGACACGATGACACTTGACCACACCAGTTGACAGTAGAACTATTACCTTTCAGCCAAACATGTAAAACACCTTTTTGGTGTTTAATACTTTAATCCAGGCCAGTGTCGGTTCCATAGTGATAGCCTACGGAGATACCATACTGCAGTTTGACACGGATAACCTAGACACTATACTAACTCCACGCGGACCAGCCCCCGTAAAGATATTAGATTTGGTCTTCAGCATCCCATGCTTGTCGTAAGAGGCGACTAAGGGGCTCAGGCTCGCTAACTTGGTTAAAACATGTCATCGTATCCTGATTGCGTGGATCGAAGCTCCTGCTGTTGATCACTGGATTGTCTGGTCCAGCCTCGAATATTTACAGACCATATACCTGGAATATTGCTGAGTGCAGCCTTAAACAGCAACAAACAAAAAAAACCGAGCCGGCCAGTCTTTTTCCCCATTAATGCCAGAAGCGCCGAATTAACGAATCGACAACCTTCCGCTCAGTCTTTCCACCACACCATGGAGTTGGTCTTTAAAACGAGCAGTTAATACGATCATACCCAAAGTACCAGCACTGTTCCTGACCTTGAACAACTAACCCTTTGTATACTTCACCTGTCAAGAGCTCGTGGGCAACATTTCTTTCCGACAACACAACTTTATATACTACTCACACTTTGCTAAGGATCACAAAATTCACAACTTTACTTAAACACTGATTTATAATTTGAAATTGTATCCATATAAAACTAGATAAATAATGATATGGTAACCCCTCTTTAGGCAAACGGTCACTTTAATCTAACATTATGCACTTGATACATGGGTAACCATAAAAATGGTTTTCATGGCACCAATCAACAATTTTGCAAATCATGGAACGAGTCATTGACAAGTACACAAGACCTGTCAATAGCAGGTATGGGATCCACAAGATGCAGTGACATACTGAAACCTAGGATCCATGCTTACAATAAGCTTAGATATTTAAACCAAATTAGACCCCACGTCATAGTTTTCTGTACCTGGTGGTAAAAGCAACGCGCCGTAGATTCCGTCTTCGTCAACGATAATTTTCTTGACACCGGGTCTCATGTACCATCGTTTGAGTGACGTCTCAGCTAGCGCTGAATGCGACAGCATATACTCTCGAGCCAGTGGCGCAAACTCCCTGTGGTCATCGTGTATTGACAGTGTCACGTCATACGGTGTAGTGACATCTAGCTTCAATAATCGGGATGTCCCGAACGGTTCTCGCGTGGATGTGAATAAGCCCATCGGTTGTAAACCTGAACAAAATGGATTTCATGTTAAAACTGTTATGTTAATATCATCATCTGAACTGAACAGCTCTTCTTTATGACTGAAGTCATAATAGTGAGTGACTTTAATTGTTTTATTGGGATACCGCAGATTGCTCTAACATATAGGTACAAAAAGTACCCTACAGAGTATTTTCCCAGCTATTCGCGGAGGTCTGTAAATAATGAAATCCTGATCATTGAAAACAATAACTGAAAACAAGAGCAACAGTGAGTGAGGGAGTTTAGCTTTACTCCGCTTTTAGCAATATTCCAGCAATATCACGGCGGGGACACCAGAAATGGGCTTCACTCATTGTACCCATGTGGGGAATCGAACCCGGATCTTCGACATGACGAGCAAACGCTTTATCCACTAGGCTACCCTACAAGAGCAACAGCCATGTGAAAGGGGTATTTTGGCAGCCAATCAGCCGATTCAAAGCTTTGGTGCTAAATGTGGTAGAAATGTATACAGATATATACAGCGACCTAAATTAAAACGTCCTAAAAGTACATTATACGTATTTACACTTCCATGGTTTTGGTGGTTTAATATGAAACTAATATATTTGTGTGTCCTTTGTAGAGCGCAATGTTACTACATACTCATCGATACTCGGGACGAATGACTTACGAAGACTTCGACCAACCTGAATAAGTTCCCCCGTGACTCTCGTGGACGAAGGTGTCGACACTGCCATGGTCATCCGCCACAAAGTGACCACACGATGCAAAGTTCTTGTTGTTTTCTACCTGCGTCGACAGCAAGGTAACCTTCTGATGTCTCCGAAGACCAGTCACAGTAACACGTACTTTCTCGTCCACAAGCACTTCCGGTTGGCTGACATGAAGCGATGGACCAACCATTGTTGTCAGTGAGTATTTGAATATCACAACTGATGATCTCTTTTCTATTTTAATAAACGACTTGATGAAATTGTGAACGATTAGCTTTCGCAGCACCATGTCCTATCCAGCCAGAATTCTGGCTTCTGAAATCAGCGAAAACAGTATTTATTCCATGATTTACAAAGTGACTTAAACATATTGTAAATAAACAACAATCCCCGCATGTCACTATAGCTAACTATATTTGATTGGTTTTGTTATCATCTAGATGGTATAAAACTGCATTAAGATAGTCTACAGCAATGAGGTGAAAACAATTATCATGTGCATGATTTGTGATATTTACGTCATGACAAGGAGCTTTGCTCGTCTGTTGTGCATTAAATTTGATAAAGTTTGCCCAGTGTTTCACACTTTTTAACTGGGTGGACTTGTAATAATGTGTTGTTACAGAAAGTTAAAACAATCTTATTCGAGATTGCTAATTGAACCAACACCGAAAACTAACTCTTACACTTTTCGAGGGTTGCAATCCAAGGGATGTAACTCTAATATCGACGCACTGTGAAACTAACACATATTAGATAGTGTAGGGATGTAATTATAAAATAATTCCTCTCTGAACACTGTTTGATGCCTTCTGTTTTCTTTTCGGAACAGCCTAAATACCTGAAAAGGTACTCGCTAAAATAAAAGGAAATCAACATACACTATATTCCTTTATCACAAATTAATTTTAAAAATACTCATTAAAAGGTGGAAAAAAATAGTCGTAAATATTGTCGCACATTGTTGTCAGTTTTCACATTTCCGTATGTAACAAAAAAACAACTTTTACAAATTTACTACCAAATGAATTCTACATCACATCGTTTACTTACTAGTATTTGATTGTATCAGATACAGCAAGTTTAAAAGGTTTTTGTCCCTTTTTTATCTCATCACACAGAAGCTGGACCAGACAATCCAGTGATCAACAGCATGAGCATCGATCTACGCAATTGGGAACCGATGACACGGGTCAAGGAAGTCAGCGAGCCTGACCACCTGATCCCTTTAGTTGCCTCTTACGACAAGCATGGGTTACTGAAGATCAGTTCTAACCCGGATCTTCATGGGGCCCACCAGAGATGAACTTCATACCATCATTTTCAGGTTTGCACCGTATCTGCACCACTTACCGGACCATACCATAATAAGCAGCAAAATGACCTCACCCAAGCGTACGTAAAATATAACAAATTGGCCATGGAACTGTACCTTTGTTTGTTGCTTAACGTCGCACTCAGCAATATTACAGCTATATGGCGGAGGTCTGTAAATAAACGAGTCTGGACCAGACGATCCAGTGATCAACGGCATTAGCATCGATCTACGTAACTTGGATACGAGGACATGTGTCAGGGGCGGATCCAGAGGCGGATCCCCCCTTTACCCCGAAATAGTTTCCCCTGAGGAGCATTTCCCCCTAACCTTTCTCTAAACTCCTGGATCCGCCATTGTGTGTCAACCGAGTCAGCAAGCCTGACCACCCGATCCTGTTAGTCGCCCCTTACGACAAGCATGGGTTGGTGAAGACCAATTCTGACTCGGATCTTCACGGGTGTATTATATCATATACATCTTCAATTACATATTGTAAGACTATATGCAAAATAGAACTTGAGGTGCACGTCGTACACCTGAATGCTATGTTTCGAAATATTTGGGACTACTTTGAAAGGCATTTTAGAAGTTGTTAAGATGAAGAAAAACTAGGCTAGTCAACTTCTATAGTGCAATGAGTGCGACGTTTCGGTGTAGGTACTAACAGCGTTATCACCACATGCTTGATAACGGTGTTAACTAGTCCGTTTGGCTCAAAAGCGGACCGATGAATTGCAATCTAACTCGAAAACTAATAAACATAAAATACTCAATGAAACGCTGATCATAATCAAAACATCAGACCAACTCTGTGATTTGTTTGCAGAATTTATGTTCTAAAATTAAAAAAAGTTGTTTAACAATCGATCATTAAAATTTTGACACAGTTCACTATTTGTTACGAGGGAGGAGTGCAGAGAAAGGGACAGCCAGTTAATTAGTTTTCGAGTTAGATCGCAATTCATCGGTCCGCTTTTGAGCCAAACGGACTATACACCGAAACGTCGCACCCATTGCAATAAAGAAGTTGACTATCTATAGAACTTGGTTTTCCCTTATTGGAGGCTATAAATATAATAAACAATGGTATTACGCCTGATCAGTGAACAACTTCCAACTGTTGGTGTTCAAGCTTATACGTGAACCTAAGTCTAAACTGTGATAGATTTGTTCTTTTTAGTTAAACGTGAGTTGTCAGAGGGTGTTCTTATCTCTTGGTCAAAAACAGTGACACTGGAACTCGGGTGAGTATTGTCGGATTACATGTATATGTTTTCAGTGTTTGACCCAATTTGTCGCACTATAAATAGATGTGTGGCGCCTAACACATTGTATATACTCGGATGGCGTCTTGTTTTAGAAGACAAAGATACATGTCTTTTCTAATTTCGTGTGTCGTTTAATTGAATGGCGAGAAAACAACGCGTTTCTCAAACTAAAAATAGGGACGCTTCTTCTGTATATATCTCCCGACCTATGAGTCTGACGTGTTGTTATGATTATGTCGAAAGGTGTGTGTACTCCCACCTTTAATCGACATAAACACTTGGTAAACATGTCTGCACTTGGGTTTTGACGGTAAACAATTTTTCGGACGCTGATATCTCTCGTTGTTTTGATTTTGCCCCGGAAATTTGGAAACCAATGAAAGGTCACTCTAAACAAATTACGTTTAATGTATTTTTATCTAGAATATAGATTATGAAAAGCGCCCGTAAAGTTTTCTCGAAGGTGCATGTTAAGGGCATCATTTTTTGTTGTGGGTGTTTCACGTAGCCACCAAATTCTGAACATGGGTCGGTCGGTCGGCAAAAAGGAAAAAAACAAAAACAAACTTGATAAAGACAAAATCATCTGAATAATGTTCTTGATTCTCATTTATTGTAACTCTTATTACAATTTCTTGCGTTCTTTTGACTTGTGGCAGCGACTGAGTGAAAGATACACATGTAATACGACGAGGCGGTACGATTTAGGTACGCGAACAGTCGGTGGTGTCGGATTGAAAATAAAGGTTTTATTATTATTATTTTTTGGTTATTTTTTATTTAGAAAGGTCGGGCGGGCGATGAGAAACAAACAAAATAAAAATGCTGCCCTAATGATACATATAGTACTGACTTGACAAAACAGAGTATTCGACACATCCGATTTTGAGACAACAAGGTGGGTCTTGTAAAAACATCAACGGCCTATTTACCATTTTTTCCTAAAAGTTTTCGAATGACCCAGTACTTCCAGTCCAAGAAAAAACAATAAATATTGATTCCAGACTACGTATTTAATCAAGACACCGGCCGTTAGACTCTCTAACAATTAGTCGCTGGCTTCTATATGTAATCGTGAAAATCCACGTTCAAATAAGCAGGGGACAGTGTGATATCCTGGTAGTTAGATTAACACTAAGTCTCTGACTATATCTAAAAAAATTAAATTAAACAATTCATTTTCAATTGAAAAGGAGCCCCGGTGAGAAGGGAGATTTAGAACATGAGGAAATCTAGACTTGCTTTATTTAGGGCCTTAGAACTGCAAAATGGGCTGGGCGGAGGGTACAATATTGTGGTTCACGGACTGTGAGACAGACTGCCTGGTAGTGAAGGAAAAGATCTTCACTTGCCTGTGGAACGTATATGATTTGAGTTTGGCGTGAAATTTGGACGAAAACGGTAAGAGACGCATCAAGTTATGAAGCAGTTACGTGACTTAAACATTTTGTAAATAAACAACAATCCCAGCATGTCACTCTATATAGCTAACTGTATTTGATTGGTTTTGTTATCATCTAGATGGTAAAAAACTGCATTAAGATATTCTATTCATCACAATGCGGTGAAAACAATTATCATGTGCATGTTTTGTGATATTTACGTCATGACAAGGAGCTTTGCTCGTCTGTTGTGCATTAAATTTGAGAAAGTTTACCCAGTGTTTCACACTTTTTAACAGGGTGGACTTGTAATGATTTTTTGTTACAGAAAGTTAAAACAATCTTATTCGAGATTGCTAATTGAAACAACACCGAAAACTGACTTACACTTTTTCGAGGGTTGCAATCCAAGGGATGTAACTCTAAAATCGACGCCCTTCTGCGACCCATGACTGCATTCTCAACAAGGCGAGAGGTAGTGTTACCAGAGACCATATAATCGAGACCATCGATGTGTATCAGTTACATGCCAGGCCGTAGCGCTGATAGTTAGTAAACAACTGTTGGGGAGGGCCGTCCTATTTCGTGCCAACATTCCCCCAGAAACGCTACTAAACGTATATAAGTAGCCAACAAGAAATGACATCAATCCACGCAATAACACGTGGTCTGTCAAGCTGAACTTTGGACAACACACCTGTTTGATACGCTTCAGCTGATACTTTATATGTTAATACGAACACATGCACATGCATTATGCAGTAATTAAGCATCAGTATTACACATTATAACTTACCTGCCACCAAAACACTCCCAACACAGATTCATACACATGCGCGATTTGGGTATCGGGATTTTGTATGGAAGCCCGTCACAGACAACAGGGCTGAAGATATTTTATGAAGCTTCATACACTTATTTGAACGTTTGACATAAACTTTTGCAGAAAGCCCGAAATGAAGCAAGTCTAGATTACCCCAGGTTCTAAATCTCTCTTCTCACCAGGGCTATTTTTCAATTGAAAATGAATTGTTTAATTTAAATGTTTAAAAATATTCAGAGACTAACTACCAGAATGTTCCCTAAAAATGTTCAGAGACTAACTACCAGAATGCCCCCTACTTACTAGTATTTGAACGTGGATTTTCACGTTTACATCAATACAAGTAGAAGCCATCGACTAATTGTTAGAGAATGTTACGAACGTTGTCTTGATTAAATTCGTAGTCTGGAGGCAATATCGGTTTTTATGCACCGAAAACTTTGAGGAAAAGATGGTGAATAGGCCGTTGATGCTTTTACAAGACCCACCTCGTTGTCTTGAAATCGGATGTGTTGAATACTCTGTTTAGTCAAATCAGTACCAAATGTATCATTGTCATGCTCCTACGATAAAAAATTACGGGTGCTTTTCATAATCTATATTCTAGATGCAAAACGTTAAACTTTGTTTAGAGTGACCTTTCCTTGGTCTCCAAACTTCCGGGTCAAAAACAGAACGAAAAACAGAGATGTCAGTGTCCGAAAGAGTGTTTACCGTCAATACCCAAGTGGAGACATGTTTACCAGGGCCCTTATTCTCGAAACGTTCGTAGCCCTAAGAATTCTTAACTTAGATCGTAGCCAATGTGTTAAGAATGGGCTTAAGAAGTTCGTAGGTCTACGAACATTTCGAGAATAGCTATTCAGGTGTTTATGTCGAATACAGGTGTGAATACACACAACTGTCGTCACAATCACAACAACACCTCATAGGTATGGAAAAATAATCGGAAGAAGCTTAAGCGTACCTATTTAGTGTTAGAAACGTGTTGTTTACTCGCCATAAAATATACAACACACGAAATTAGAAAGGACATGTATCGTTTTCTTCTAAAACAAGATCCAATCCGAGGTCATACAATGTGTTAGACGCCACACCTTTTATTATAGTGCGACAAACATTGAAAACATGTAATCCGACAATACTGAGCCGAGCTGCAGTGTCACTGTTCTTGGCCAAGTTTAAAGATAATTTAAAACATTCTCTGACAACTGACGTTTAACTAAAAGAACAGATGTACCACAGTGTAGACTTTGGTTCACGTATAATGGCTTGAACACGACTGTGTTTAAAGCACTAACAACTGGAAACTGTTAACTGATCAGGCGTAATACTGACTGACTGGGTATGGGTTTACGCCGCTTTTAGCAATATTCCAGCAATATCAGGGCGGGGGACACCAGAAATAGGCTTCACACATTGTACCCATGTGGGGAATCGAACCCGGGCCTTCGGCGTGACGAGCGAACGCTTTAACCGCTAGGCTACCCCACCGCCCCATTAGGCGTAATAAGGTTATGTATTATATTTATAGTCCCCGGTGGGGCGGTGGGGTAGCCTAGTGGTCAAAGCGTTGGCTCGTCACGCCGAAGACCCGGGTTCGAATCCCCACATGGGTACAATGTGTGAAGCCCATTTCTGGTGTCCCCCGCCGTGATGTTGCTGGAATATTGCTAAAAGCGGCGTAAAACCAAACTCACTCAGTCAGTCAGTATAGTCCCCGGTAGTTCGAAACATAGTGTTCAGGTGTACAACGTGCACCTCGAGTTCTATTTCACCGATAATCTTACAATATATCATCTGTAATTGAATATATATAATATCATACACCAGTGAAAACCTGGGTTAGATTTGATTTTCAGCAACCCATGCTTGTCGTAAGAGGCGACTAAGGGCATGGGGTGGTCAGGCTTGCTGACTTGGTTGACACATGTCATGGTATCCCAGTTACGTAGATCGATGCTTATGCTGCTGGTCACTGGATTGTCTGGTCCATTATTTACAGATGGACGCCATATAGTTGGAATATTGCTGAGTGTAGCGCAAAACAACAAACCAAACCAAAATCAGTGTTGTCATATGTCCTGAACTTTCATGTATAGGTTGGAATAACGTACACATGAGGCCAGTGATACATGTGTAAGATCAATGTCCATGAACACTTGGTTACAATGGGAATATGTCATGCGAGTCATCTGACTCTAAGAACAGGATGTAGCAGTTGGACGAATTATCATATAATGTTGATGTGGAACATATACAAATGATGTCCCTTTTGCCTTCTTCTGTACACGAGAACGTGTAACCAAACCAAAACATATCATTTGTATCATTTGTCAGAAAAGGACCACATGATCAGATTTTCCTTAATGGATATTTCATATGAAAGTATTTTGTAAGCGGTGCATAACGTTTCTCCAGATGTGTATATCATAGAAGCCAATGTAACAGAAAATGCATGTTTCGGCTTAAGAATCCGACTCGCACTCTGTGCTGCTTCCGTCGACCAAACACAAAATATTCGAGTAATAGTTCCAAAAATGTTCACTTGGAGGATGACTGACTGACTGACTGAGTTTAGTTTTACGCCGCTTTTAGCAATATTCCAGCAATATCACGGCGGGGGACACCAGAAATGGGCTTAACACTTGGAGGATGAACTGTTATATCAAATAGTATTGTTTACATCAGTCACTATAAATAATCAGGAACTACTCAAGCCGTTCCATCGCTACTTAAAAGTATCACGATTACCTTTTTAAAGATTTCCATCGTTGGCCCGTCAACGTATATATTACATGACTAGGAAACATAAAACAATGTTTGGTGGCAAAATCTGTGAGTTCCTACATGTTCTAGCATCTGTGAAATATGTTATAGTGAGTTTTAGTTTTATGCGGCTTTTTGCAATATTTCAGCAATGTCACCGCGGGGGATACCAGAACATGGGCTTCACACATTATGCCTATGTGGGGAATCGAACCCGGGTCTTCGGCGTGACGAGCGAACGCTTTAACCACTAGTCTACCCCATTGCCCCACCTTTTTAAAGATTTCCATCGGTTGACCCGTCAACGTATATATTGTAGTGAGTTTTAGTTTTACGCAGATTTTTGCAATATTTCAGCAATGTCACGGCGGGGGACACCAGAAAATGGGCTTCACACATTGTGCCATGTTCTAACATCTGTGAACAATGTCAGGTATATTGATAAATGGCTGCTTACTTTAACGCAGTATCAGTGTTTTACGTCACTATTGTATTTTACATATGAAAATACATTAGACAATTGTTATCTATCATAAAGTGAGAATTATTAAACACAACTGTTCCATTTGAGATAAAAACTCAAAAATGTTCACATTAACACAACAATTACACATTGAAATGCCAAAAACAACAGAATATGTGAATATAGTGCTGAAGAGTTTTTCAGTTAAGTAAAGTTGTATGAAATGAATATATTCTGTGTTGGGGACCTATTTCTGAAATCCATAGAAAAAGTGAAAAAAATCATATACTCAATGTGGTTGCCATTTCAGATGCCCAGCTAAATATGCTCATGCCAATAATGGTTGTCACCCCCTTCAATTGTTTTAATTGGAGAGGGGGTTGGGGTGGGGAGGGGGTGACAACCAATACTGGCATGAGCATATTTAGCTGGGCATCTGAAATGGCAACCACATTGAATCTTACAGTTGAGACACAAAGCTCGCTGAAAATCGTATTGGTTATTTGTTCTCCTGTCTGGTCGTCAGATTTGCTCTGACCCATGCACTAACTTTTGACTCGTCAAGTTTTAGTTAATTAATACTAACATTCGGCCATACACTTAAGGGAGTCTTACTGGTCTCCTAAACAGAATCAGTACATGCCTAGCAACTCCTACGTCTTTGGCTTGGGACCCGCACTTTTTTAACTCATGTCACGCTGTCACGACAAAACTGATAAATCCTACGTCAAACTGGGCTCATATGAAACATGAAAGCAATAATACGTAAATATAGCACAAATAGGTGTGAATACATCGTTTTCAGTGACTTTTCTGAGAAGGGAATTAGCAGTTATTGGTCTCCCGGTGCTCCAGAATCCAGCCGGCATATCTCTCCCTAAAAACACAGTAAATCATTGTGGATTCCTTGAAACACTGGTCTATCGATAACCCCTTCATCCCTGAAATAGGAAATGTTATGTTGATAGAAGAAAAGTATTATCTTAAATATCATGTGATCCACAACTCCTTTACCTTGGGTTTAACCAATATCAAACGTTCAAAACATCAATCCATACGTATGTTCATCCTGATGATTTGAAAGGAAACTATCTGCACCTTGATGGGCAGGTTATGTGCAGAGCATAACAAACACTCACTCACCCACTGCCTGCAAATAACTGGAGGGTTACCATGTTCTCCGTCTAGACAGCTACTGGCTATAGACGCCGGGATGTAAATTGTATGTGTTTGTGAAATGTGTGCATATCAATTTCGAGAATATTTAACTATCATTGCTGTATTTATTCCAGGTAACACGTTCGTTTGACACAAACATAATCTCGTTTCCTGAGTTATTATTTGAATAATATTATTATATTTCCTTTATATTGCCTCATTCATAGGACGTGTTTTGTGAACAAATTGTAGCAGTATAAGCTCTGGTTACACTATATTCAGGAAGGCTGTCAAATTCAACAATAGTATCGGCAAACATGTTGAAGATTACTTGAAAAATCTAATTTGATGATCGATTATTATATTTGTTTAACATCTGTAAGGCCCCACTTAGATTATTTGTATGTTGGCGTCAAACAGAAACAAGATGCAATCATAAGGTAAATAACGGATAAGTTTAACTTGGCGATCAGAACCCCAATGAGGCGATTCCACATAAGTTATGTCAGAATATCAGCATTCCCCCAAACGCAACAGCGTTCGTGACAAGAAGGGGCGATGGGGTTGTCTAGTGGTTAAAGCGTTCGCTCGTCACGCCGTAAACCCGGGTTCGATTCCCCACATGACCCATTTCTGGTATCCCCCGCCATGGTATTGCTGGACTATTGCTAAAAGCTGCGTAAAGTAAAACCCAACTCACTCACTCACTCCGGTTTCACGTTTTCTTTCCTTCCATATCAAGTTGACGCTCCTTGATATAAACCTTACTAACTCACTCTTTTGTTATTTATTATTAAAATATTGAAACAGCAGTGCATGATAAACAATATTTTTCGTTAAAATATAAGTAACTCAAAAGGGATGTTAATAAATTGGCTGAAAATAATACGTAGTACCAAATGAGCAGCCTAAAATTGATATTATATTATATTTATTATTAACATGTTGAAGTATAAAATATAGAATATATATCATCAATTGCCATGGTTCATAATGTAATTGTTACACAGCCACCTGGCACTGTTACTGGTGTAACCGATTCCACACATCAACTAACACAGTCAATGGAAACACTGTTCTTTACTCCTATACACCCGTGATGTAACTGACAATCAGCTGACGAGATATATGTCAATAGTGACACTGACTGAAATGTACCTGACAGAGCATGCTGACAAGATCAGAACCCGCTCAGGCGTATTCCTTTGTTGTGTCGTGACGTACCACCGAACCAATTCTTCAGGCTTCAAACCGCGCAGGGTTTCACACCGAGAAATGTGCGTCCATAATTTATAGAAATATATATGTAGTGATTTCAATTTAATGGCAATAATGTCAATAATCACTTTGTCGACTTTACAATGAGGGAAACCCACGTGCTGAAATATTCCCTATTTGGTTAAAACAGGCAAAATAAGTTATGAAAATTATATGAATGGATCAATCGAAAATTAGAAATGACCAGATGGTAATCATGTGCTGCCCATTTCACGCTATTTGCATAGACACACACGGCCGCGACCACCCCCGATAAAACGGTGAGGTGAGGAGACATGTGGTTTACCGTCTTACATAAGAATATTTTGCTCATATGACGACGTGCATGCGTGTGTATGTGCGGCTGCTTGTACAGCCCAGACTGAAGCTGGTTTTATAGTGCTAGCTCACTGAGATACCATGCCGCAGTTATGCATGAATACCCCACCCAGACACATTATACTGACTCCGATCTGACCAGTCCTTGTTGTACCCATTAATGCCGAGCGCCAGGCAAGGACCATATTTTTAACGTCTTTTGATTTGACGCGGCCGGGCATCGAACCCGCGACCTTCCGCTCTCCGGGCGGACGTTCTAACTACTACACCACGGAGGCGGTCCCCGCGAAAACGACTGCTTCCTGTGAAACAATCCTCTAGATCCAAAATACAAGGACACTATAACTGATCCGAAAACATGGGTGTTAAAGTAGGAATACCTCTGTATCCATAGCAACGTCTTTCTTTTGTTATTTACAACTACTTTCCAAAATGTCACAAAAGATTAGTCATCACCAAACTTACTGCACCACGAAAAGTTTTTCTTATATGTATTACTTTTAATCTTTTCCCGTAATATACATCCGTCAACAGTGATCAACATTTGGAAAACTAACTACTTCAAAATTTACAACTTTATAAAATCATCATATATGTGATTTGTTAAATTTCATTGTGTACAACATGGGATTGTCAACAGAACATTTCAACCCTGTACATGAGATGAATATACTGACATTACATGGAGGCATGTCTAGTTCAAACACATTGACTTAATCCTGAACGAATGCATTGTATTGATAGTTACATAGACTACTCAATCGATTTAGTCATAACCTCAAAGCACTTTATCTATACTGAAATTTGAAAAAAATGCCTTATGTCATTGGTCGACCAAGGCGTGTAAAGTACAAGCTGGAGTGAAACATTTCTGGTGGGGTAAAACAGCTTTATCCACACATGCACCTATATAACGTAGGGGGTCATGAAATATATAGGATAATACCAAGTATTATAAGAGAGATCAGGGATGATAACCAACATCCTATGCAGGTAGGTCCAGTCTGTACAATTCAACAACAAAACACACAGTGTCGTTCGTGATGTTGATACCTTCACAGGTGCTCGAATAATCTCTGCACACCATTTTTCTGTCAATCTTATTGATTTTTGCGAATCATCGAAGAACCATGGTGAAAAACTACCCCGTTCAGGGCAACCAAGGTCAAGGACAGGAGAGACGGATTGACTACGAGTACAACCTTTCATAGGGGTACTTGAGTACGAGGTACCGGTCAGATGATACCCCAGACCTTCCCCCATTGAACGCGTCTTGAACATGATGGGGTGACGTGTGCCTAACGTTACATATTATTTCGGAACTACTTGTCCAGGCTCTACAAAAGGAATTTGAAGATTACGCAGTATGTCGACTGAAGGAATTTTTGACAAAACATGGCCATATTATACATTTCTGGTCAATTTTCCACCTTACCACTCTCGTCCTTCAAGTTCATTAACGGTTATAAGAACTAGTGTCCTATTTCTCAATATCGGTTTTAATATGTTCCTCGTTCGTTCACTATCATTACCACAAACACATGTCGTACCCGTGAAGGTCCGGGTTAGAATATTGATCTTCAGTAACCCATGCTTGTCGTAAGAGGCGACTAACGGGATCGGGTGGTCAGGCTCGCTGACTTGGTTGACACATGTCATCGTATCCAAATTGCGTAGATCGATGCTCATGTTGTTGATTACTGGATTGTCTGATCCAGACTCGATTATTTACAGACCGCCGCCATATAGCTGGAATATTGCTGAATGTGGCGTAAAACTGGACTCACTCATTCACTCACAATCACATGTCTCTTTCAATGTAGGAAGTTGTAAGTTCTTTAAGAGGATTCCCTAGTTACTTCGAAGATGAAATACTCAACTGTTTAACGCGAAACCATATACAACCAACACATTTTAAATTTAAACAATAAAGTATATCATTGAAAAGTAGAATCATACGTTGGTGATGTGTATGCTTCAATAGACAAGCACAGATATTTAAACACATATGTATACACATCTTCTGTACACTTGGTTTAAATGTAAACTAACATTGATAGCCAGATTTACCTCTTGTATACATCATGATGGAGTGAGTGAGTGAGCGAGTTGAGTTTTCCGCCGCACTCAGCAATATTCCAACTGTATGGCCTATGTCTGTAAATAATGGACCAGACAATCCAGTGATTACCAGCATGAGCATCATGACGAAGAGTGTTTAGAATCTAAATCTATTAACCATTTAGACAACACATCCTTTATGTACATTCAAACTATAAACTAACATTGATAACCAGACATAACTCTTGTATACATCATGATGGAGAGTGTTCAGAATCTAAAACCATTATACATTTAGACAACACATCCTATATTTACATTCAAACAATAAACTAACATTGATAACCAGATTTACCTCTTGTATACATCATGATGGAGAGTGTTCAGAATCTAAAACCATTATAGACATCCTAAATGTACATTCAAACAATATAACATTTAGATTTACCTCTTGTATACATCCTGGATAGAATCTAAAACTATTATACATTTAGACAACACATCCTATATTTACATTCAAACAATAAACTAACATTGATAACCAGATTTACCTCTTGTATACATCATGATGGAGAGTGTTCAGAATCTAAAACCATTATACATTTAGACAACACATCCTATATTTACATTCAAACAATAAACTAACATTGATAACCAGATTTACCTCTTGTATACATCATGATGGAGAGTGTTCAGAATCTAAAACTATCATCCATTTAGTCAACACATATTTTATGTACATTCAAATATGTCTTCAAATGATTTAGCATTTATTATTTTAGCAAATGCACAACGTAATCAAAGGTAAATTATGAAGAATTGAAAATACAGGTGACTCAGTATGTCAGGTGTTAGCAGTCTCGATGAGATGGACAACGCAGTCTCTAAGGACGCCCAGATTTCAGAATCTATCTTCTGGCTTCAAATGTGATGCTAAAGCTTTTGAAAGTCACAGCTAATGAATTGTATATTGCCTTTCGTAATAATATGACAGATTGTTACATGATATAGGAACACGCAAACAACCAAAACATAGCCATCAGATGAAATATAAACTACACACTAAATCAGCTTGTTCACCGTCTTTACAAGACGGTTTTAACCAAACAATACGTGGTACGGAATAGACTGCTGTCAGTAGCAAGGTTGGGATATATTTGAACAAAATCGCACAGATTACATCGTCCCAGAACATTTACTTCATGGTACATAAAACCAAAACTAGATTCATATCGTTAGAAATCTGAGCCCCACCAGAGCTACTCTTCACTAACAGATGATGTTACACAATAAACGCACTCGCTAACTAGTTGTGTCTAGAGTTTTCTGTTACCACAACTTTTAATATAATGGCGGCAATATCAATGAACTGCATGGTGTGCTATGTTTGTTTTAATGCACCATACGAGATGGAATTATCAACATATTTGGTCATGCATATGGGTCCTGGATATAGGTCATAAAAAACTTTTAAGATTTTTGAGTGAAGTACCCTATCAACCAATTAATCACTATCAACCGTAGAATTTGTTTAAAAACATCATTAGTGTTGCTAAATGAAATTACACATGTATGCTTTATTGCAAGCTTGCATGTCAACACAAATAACCACAAGCTTTAAAGAAGACAACGGCAAACAATATTTTGATATAAAGAAGTCATGAGACAACATTGTTTCCATCTGTATTCCTCTTCGCCAGGAATTTGTTGAAATGTTCTAGGATTCTCCTCCAGGAGTCTTCTTGGGCTACAGCATTTCCTTTCATCTCTCCACCAAATAGAAAGAGCTTTTCTGTGAGAAAAAAGAAACTTTCATTCAATGAATTGGATGTAAATTGTTATGATCATTGTTACAATGATTAACATAGTAACACTTAATAGCCGATAAGTTCCTTCTCGAACTATCAGCCTCAGTCTATGTAATATATAACCTCGACTTCGATGTGAGCCAGACTATGTAAGATGTATCACCAGACGTGCCAGTATTAACAACGTATCCATGGTGCTCGTGAGCTTGACATAACGATCTTGTCCCAACTCTTACCAGAAGCTATTCTTTAACATGGCTGTTCCCCACAGCGTGAGTCTGTGCTGATCTCCTTACAGATCAGAACATATACCAACTGTTGTGTACATCAAGGCAACCTGATTGCAACCACATTAAGCATATGTGGTGTGACCTGGGCCTCCTTTCACAAAGCACTAAGGTGATCGTAAGTCACTAAGGTAACCTTAGTGCAATGTTAAAGAATGGGAGTTAAGGTTAACCTTAGTAAAGGTTGTTTCATGAAAGGAGGCCCTGGACAAACGTCGTTTCCCGGGTCTCATTATTTGCAGCATTTACGCCCAACACTTATGGACGATTGGCAGCCGAGGCTGGTTTCAGTGGCCCTGGAGAGGCCTTGTGCAGTCACCCAGGCAAATGATGGACACGCATAAGGCTTTATAACCATTGTCGTAACCGGGATTTGGGTGTTAGTAAACCCTACTACCAGTTACCTTTTAAGATGGCCGTTCTGCATTGTCAGGGGTGATGTAAGCTCAAATTACACTCGCTTGGTCCGTCCGGGGCTTCTACGTCTCGGAGTGAGAGGTCAGACGACCGAGACTCCTAACTACAACATTACATTCATGTACTGGCACTCTGGCATTACAAGGAATAACTCAACACTAGGTTCTATACTCACATAGGTTTACTCGATCTCTCTCTTCATTACAAGGTGACGTGGTCAGGACAGGATAGGGCAAGCTCTTCACCAGATATGGAACTGATCGATCGCGATGCGAACGTTCTGCTGACTTTGTAACCCGCGCCCCTTTCTAGTGCTAAACCATCTTTTTAAGGTGTTCGAGCCTGCTCCACCCTTGTCACATGACCAGATACAATCCCTCTGATTCGTTTAAAGTTACATCATTCCATGGTCTCATGTCGTACCTCGTGATCAGAGAATTACTGCAAACTCATCGGTGACTCACCGTTAATTGCTACTTTTAAGAGTCTTTTCTGTTCTGTTACTGACAGTTATCCTGTTCTCTATTCCTTAGTTTATTACCAAGCAGTAACAGCATTAATTCTATGACTAAATAATCGTAATTCTCAATAATGGATTTGTGATACGTTTCTTGAATAACGGATGCATTTTCGCCTTATAACACCATGCTGCTTGAGATAGCGACATAACACACACTATATTAATGCTTGATACATTCTTTCAAACATAAACATGTCCCATGTAACCGGTATAAAGCTTTGAAGAAGTCACTGACTGGATCTCTTGAAAACCACATATGCGTGTTATGTTTTGCGTTTGAAGTCAAATGTTTCCAAGAGGCTTTGCATTGTATCGGCAGTAGCCTCAACAACCCTGATATTGCTCCCCTCAGTATGCAAGGTTGGCATTCAATAATAGGTTAACGCTTTAGCAGCTGAATTACCATAACAAAACATTATGATAAAAGGGATTTTATTTTGAGTACTAGAAACAGATATATGTCTTACCCCACAAAATATATGTACAACTAACCATACAACGTAAACAAAAACGTGCATCTTGTGAAGGACTAACAATAACTTTAGTTGAATACGTTACCAGATTTGTTGTCCAAATAGTGTTCCCTACACAGGGGCACATAAGGGGGCTCTATGATGTGACCAGCCCCTGGGTAGTATATAGTCTGGATGTTGCGTACTTTGTCCCCAGGGACCTTCTTTATCAGCTCTCTGTACAGCATGGGGGAAACTGTTCTGTCATCTTCTCCAACAAGCGAGAGGATCTTCACGTCTTGACGCCATATCTGAATTTAATAAAAAATTCCAGGGAGTGTTTATTTATGAAGTTGTTATTATGCATAACCTAAATGTAGACAAAAATGGACATCAAAACTTTGTACAAAGCAAATTAATACTTACAGGAAGAACAGAAACACTTTCGTCAGCGAAATTAAATGATATTGTAGCATATTTATCGTCCAAAGGTTTCATCACTGGCCTGTAAAGAAACATCGAGTAGGAAATAACCATATCTGGACCACAAAACGTGCAATGCGGATAATGATTAGCGATTACTTTCACAGATCAAGGAATCGTGCAATGCGGATAATAATTACCCATTAACTTCACAGATCAAGGAATCGTGCAATGCGGATAATAATTACCGATTACCTTCACAGATCAAGGAATCGTGCAATGCGGATAATAATTACCCCGCCTTCACAGATCAAGGAATCGTGCAATGCGGATAATAATTACCCATTAACTTCACAGATCAAGGAATCGTGCAATGCGGATAATAATTACCGATTACCTTCACAGATCAAGGAATCGTGCAATGCGGATAATAATTACCGATTAACTTCACAGATCAAGGAATCGTGCAATGCGGATAATAATTACCGATTACTTTCACAGATCAAGGAATCGTGCAATGCGGATAATAATTACCGATTACCTTCACAGATCAAGGAATCGTGCAATGTGGATAATAATTACCGATTACCTTCACAGATCAAGGAATCGTGCAATGCGGATAATAATTACCCATTAACTTCACAGATCAAGGAATCGTGCAATGCGGATAATAATTAGCGATTACCTTCACAGATCAAGGAATCGTGCAATGCGGATAATAATTAGCGATTACCTTCACAGATCAAGGAATCGTGCAATGCGGATAATAATTACCGATTACCTTCACAGATCAAGGAATCGTGCAATGCGGATAATAATTACCGATTACCTTCACAGATCAAGGAATCGTGCAATGCGGATAATAATTACCCATTAACTTCACAGATCAAGGAATCGTGCAATGCGGATAATAATTACCCATTAACTTCACAGATCAAGGAATCGTGCAATGCGGATATTAATTACCGATTACCTTCACAGATCAAGGAATCGTGCAATGCGGATAATAATAATTACCCATTAACTTCACAGATCAAGGAATCCCGATGGTCTGGTGAAAACCGACGGTGATAGATAACATGTTCCATACATCTGCTAAATTCACCATATCTTAAAATCTATATTTCAAACTGAGCGTTACATCAAGATTTGACAATTACTGTTTGAACATTGATCTATCGTATCGCAAGCTAGAAGCACTGCGTTGGCATATATTATCACAAAAATTTAGTTATTTTCTTTGGTTCTGGGCTTATTTCATACATTTTTTAAATGGTACATTTTGAATGTTAGATTATCCGCAATCTGACTGTCAGTTTTGGATTATTTCATACATAATGATACAAATGCATAATTTTATCACCAATTCCGAATCATGTCATGTTAAAGGGAAAATATATGTATATACTGCATATGCGAAAATAGCTAATATATAGTGGAAATCAGTTTAGTTTTGCCCAGCTATTAGCAATATTCCAGTAATATCACGGCGGGGACACCAAAACCCATGTGGGGAATCGAGCCTGGTTCTTCGGCGTGACGAGAGAACCTGTTAACCACTAAGCTATCCCACCGCGCCAGCTGATCCACAAGGATTTACAGCCTCAATAACAAAGTGTTTTAATTATAGTAATGTTCAGTTACTTACAGGTATCCTTTCACGAGACTTCCGTTTATGTGTTGATCTCGAAGAGGAGAGAACAGTACAGGGCATACTGTGACTGAAACCACAACCTGATAATGTCATGAAACTTGTAATGAGTTTCAGGGTGAAACTGTTCTGTTTTCAGTCGATAACCGTAAGTAATAAATAAAACTTGGTGACCAAAACGAACATGAATATTTGTCACTTACTCTTAAATATGAGCCACATTTGCAATAAATGCAACAATCGCTGATAGAGCAAAGATATTATGAATGAAATTATTTTGAATGAAGGGTGATTTTGAATGAAGAGTTTTTGTTAAATAATGCATTCAACATGCTTAATATCCAACAAATAAAAATAGCTTAATTACAGAAAACATAGCAGAATCACAGAAGTTGTTGTGAAGAGATTTAACATGATTCATATCAGCTGTTCAACTAAATAATTACATATAGCAACAACGTGAACACAGCTGTCACTTTGACCCTGAATACACGGACACATCATGACCATATGGCAATGTTGCTTCTGTTCCCTGTGAATAGACATGGCTCCAGCTTCAACAAGCCAAAGATGTCCGAACAGAAAACGGAAAATGCGTAATGAAGCATCATGAACATCCGTGAAGGTAGGAGGTCACAACTATTCGTCAAATGCACGATGTTCGAAAAGGAAATGAAAATGACATAATAGATTTATGAGTATTCTTGAAGCAAACCGAAACATGAGTCTCATAACCTTTTCAGACAATGACCTTTTTTCAGCCGATCCAAATTTTCTCGTGTGAAAGTGAAAATAGACATTACAAACAACTATGGTTACACTGAATTCAAATTTCTTGTTTCATTAGAAAATAGTATTTACTAATGAATTTGAATTTTAAGATGTAATAACATCGTATTTCTATATTTTATGGCGAGGTGTAGGCAGCATGACCTTAACTAAGACGTCACAGACTGCCCCTGTTTGATGAGGTCGTAAAATGATTCACAATGCATCTGGCTGACTGGTTACACCTGTTATGTGTTTTTTTGCGCATATTTTATGTAATTCTGTAACGCACAATGTGATTGATATAATATCAAGTTCGTACCAGACCGCCAAACTTTTCTAGCGGGAGAGCCTCGTTTTGAGATTTCCACGATTTCCATGTTTCCGGTTGTCAGAGCTCGCTGTACGAAAGAGCACGCTGCGCGAAGTGTTTGCAAGGATTGGAAGGAGCGCAGTGTTGCAATATACAAGCTTACATGTATCAAATAATACTGATTAATAATTATGTATCCAGTTAAATGAATTGGTCAAACAATTCTGGACTGGTTATTGTACTAAGTTGCGCAGTAGGACGGGACCCAGTCAATAGGAATCGAGACTGTTGTGTAATCAATGTTTTGACAATGAAACATGGACTCTACTGTGATCATAAGGGTGAGCGAGTGAGTGAGTGAGTTTAGTTTTACGCAGCTCTCAGCAATATTCCAGCTATATGGCGGCGGTCTGTAAATAATCGAGTGTGGACCTGACAATCCAGTGATTGATCAATTCTAACCCGGATCTTCACGGGTTACTGTGATCAAAGGCTTGTTACTGTGATATTATTCAATACAAGACAGGACAGTGAGTAGATACATGTAGTTGTTCAAATGTCAGGCTCAATATGGTTGCTAGCTACGTCAGTATTGGATATGACTTCATCAATTTGTTCAAAAGACAGTTGCTAAGGTTCAGGTGTATTTGGCATAAATGCATTTTCAGAGATCAAGATTGGTACGTGAAGGTCACAGAAGGGTCAAACAGTACAACTAGCAACTAGTACATGCTCAGAAACTATGAAAATTCACAAGAATACATTGTGATTACAATAATGACTAATGAGTACTGTACAACACATAAAATGACATACCCAGAGGTGGATATGTGGACATACTTTATGAGTCGTTAAATCATTTCAGAGACTTGTTAAACCTGGAAACGTTTATGGTGGTTCCGAGTACATACCTTTCGACAGAAAGAGGCAAGCATATTCGCAACTGCTCCTCCGAAAGATGTACCTATGACGCCAATGCCACCGTCAGACGCTTGAGGGTGCTGACTCAGCAATTCAGCAACATCCTGAATAAAATGTACAGAACATTGAATTCTTTCTCATTTTTTAACATATCCATGAACAAACAACACTATGCACAGTCAAGGTGTATTTGAGAAATTAACTGAATATGGAGAGTGAAAGTTTTGCTTTCATATTAAACGCCTTCACCTGGAAATAGCCATAGTGAAGTTCATCAAAACGCTGCGGTAGACCTTCGTAGCCCAGGTAAGCCAATGCAAGTGTCAGATAACCCCTGGAGGCAAGAAGAGCCGCCCGGAATTCGAACAAACCACCAATGGCACCAAACATATCGAGAACAGCAGGAAAAGGGCCTGCACCTTAAAAATGGGGAAAGTTGAACTGTTGATGTTCTGTCATTAGTATATATCTTATATATTATTAAAATATTATAGATTGTATAGGTATGACGTCGCAAATTTTATACAGTTCATAAAATTGAAGGACGTTTTAAAATATGATAATCTTAAATATCATTTTCGAAATTTAAGTTGACTGTTGACAGTATCTTTAATGTACCCGGAGGGATGAAAATTGTCCCTCGTAGGCGTCCCTCCCTTACAGGTATCCTTTGCACTCCCTCCTGCAGGTACCATCGTTTCACTTGTGTTGCAGCAATCACACCTGGAGAGTTACTCGATGACCCGATGGATTTCAAGTGAACATGATTTAACCATGCTGATATCGTTATGTCAAATGGAACTGTGACATCTTTCTTCAACAGACGTGTGGGTTTTCTGTGTTTAGCAGATGGAACCATGGCCCAGAAAAGGCCGATTGGTTCAACGCCTGAATAGAATCGAAGGAACTTCTTAAAATACATGAGAAGCCATTTGGTCAGATATAGGTGGAACATGATCTAACGTGTATTAACAGAAATATGATACATAGACTGCATTAAAACCCTTTTACGATTTCCTATTCCTGTTGATGTAATTAAGACTGCTCTCGTTGTCATTCAATGGATATACATTTAGAGAGTCTGAATAAAATACAATATATATGCACCTTACACCCTTGTATATCTACATACAACACAATCAAGATTGCTTGCATACTAGTCAGGGATCATTCTTAAAGCACACACGGATACTTTTTCAGCCCCGCTTGGTATTATAAATGGGTAGAAACTCAAAATACCACTGAAAGAACCTCCTTCACTTGACTGGACAGTCGTGTCCACGTGACCACCCTCATCAGCTGTATAGTAAGCGCAGGACACAAACTCCTTGCCCTCGCCTCTTAGAAGAGCAGAAATTGTGATCTTCTGATGCCGCCGAAGGTCCGATACTTTGATAGTGAGTAGTAGACGACGACAACGTTCTTGAAGGATTCACTAAACGAGACACCGTTTGGGTAAAATGTACCCTTTGTGTCATCCCCATCATGAACATGACTTACTCGCGTTCTGAAACTGGGCAACATGACGACGACGACAAAGTTCTTGAAGGATTCACTAAACGAGACACCGTTTGGGTAAAATATACCCCCCTTTGTGTCATCTCCATCATGGAGATGACTTACTCGCGTTCTGAAACTGGGCAACATGACGACGACGACAACGTTCTTGAAGGATTCACTAAACGAGACACCGTTTGGGTAAAATATACCCCCTTTGTGTCATCTCCATCATGAACATGACTTACTCGCGTTCTGAAACTGGGCAACATGTGTTAAGCAGATATTTGTGTACATACAAAGAGGATAAAACAACTACCAATGACAGGTTATTGCGACACAAGTCTACAATTGCTATAATTCATAAATGCCATAGACACTGGGAGGTGTAACATGTGCTTTAGTGTGTGAAATACATTAAACATGCATTTTTGCATTAATGTTTGTATTGTCAGTTGGTAATTGCAATTTCTGCACTTCAATAATGATACTGGCAGTTGGTAACACGTTGGTTGATACTAACATAATGACAAATATGCCCCTTGACAATCGGTGATTACAAGACTTTTATTTGCTACTAGGTACTAAAATAGATTGTAGTGACAATTATTTTCCATAATCATAATAAATAAATGCGGCAGTAAATCTTTACTAGTAAATCTTAGTAAAATCAGGTCGATTGTACACTATATCATAGGCATGGCATTATGAAAAGCTATCACAAAGTGATAATACATACATTACATGTATATATCATAGGGACATGGTATGATAAGGACTGTCATTATAGTAAGCTCTCTAGAACCGTGTGTGTAAGTATGTGCGCGCGTGCGTGCGTGTGCGCTCGCGTGCGTGGAAGGAGGGGGAGGCGTGGCACAGCTACTGTGCAAGTACAGCTTCTATAAGCATGTTTGCAATAGATATATACGTAAATCGTAATATATAATGTATTTCAGCATTTCATTTAAAAACCCATAAGTTACATATCTTAGGAAGACATTTGAAAGCAAGTTAAATGCATATGTTGTAATAGACCTTGCCAAGTTAATATTAGTGCAGACATTTGGTACAAACATCTTGAGGATGTGTTTGAAGTTCCAACGAAGGTGAGTTTTTGCCCACAATGGATGTTAATGATAATGTTGATCAAACAGCTTGGTTGGACAAATGCTGGTGACTTGTCCTCAGGAACTTAGGAAGAGGAAGTCATGTTACTCTTCTTTGAAACATAATATATGTTCATATTTAGCATTAGTCAAAGTTCATAATTTCAAAACAAGCACTATCATATGTGGCACAATGACCGCTTGTAAATATCACCTAAAATGTCATTTCGACCTTTATCAGTGCTGAAATATTTCCTTGCATGTATTCCAGATGCTTTTTGTTCAGTATGAAAGTTTAAATGCCAACCTATCGAAAACAAAAACCCTTTTTGCGTAAAGGTGGAATTGTTAATGTGGGAAATGGTATTATAGTAATGAAGTTGGAGCGGTTATTTCTGAATATACCTTAGAATATAAATGATATATCTCACTCGGAACACTTTTCAAAACAACTGATACAAAAAGTATAACGAAATGTTAGTTTATTCGATAGGTAGACTGAACTAAGCAAGTATTGTCAGATATGTTCTATTTAGGTAAGGTCTTTGTCATGCGTGGGTTGACCAAGATTTTGGACGTATAGTTAGTTTTCTTAAACCAGATTGAAAGATATGTAGTAATGCAATGTCTGATGTTTTCGAGTTCCTTGTCCATTTAACCTTAACCTACGGCCAGCATTGACTGTGGTACCCCAGGCGCGTAGAAAGCCAGTTTTTCGTGTAAGCCCGATAGGTTGCTTGATATTTTTAGATAGTATTGAGGGCTTGCCCAACCATTTTAGCAACGATTATGTGTAAGCTCGGGGTTTTTTAATAATGGTAGCTACGTCCCTGGGTACTGTCAAGAATAGACAGATAGCGCAAATCACAACAGAAAAAGTGCGATGTATTCAGTTTGCCTGTCTGGCGCTCGGTATTAAGGGAACAAAACAGGGAGTGGTCGGTCCTTAATCATGATATAAATGTGCCTGCGAGTATCCATGGTCGCCTGAGGCGTACTATCTCAGCGAGCTAGTGATATAAAACGGGTATAAGTCTTGTCCAGTAACAGCAGAACATAAGTTTATTTTACTTTACACGTGAAATAAAACCAGTTTCTCCTTACCTCTACATAATTATGTCATTGACATGTTACAGTGCAGACATTAGGTTCTTCAAATGACAATAAGACGTTGGTATTATGAACAAGGGAGATAGTTCTGTGAATACACAACCTCTTTATTACAATGAGTTACAGTTACAATTACGACGTTTCGAAGGGATGTACAGAGACGTGAAGTTGGAAGGTTAAAACATATCGATATGATTTTTGTACAAAGTCTAAAAGTGTCAGATTAATGTTTAAATAACAGATGAAGTTCATGTATAAGGCCTGGTCGATATATACATGAAAGTCAATATGATTCATAATTCAAAATGCATGGTTGACTGAAAACACAGTGGTTAATACGGGCAAGGAATATAAGAAACGGGTTACCATGCCCTACTCCACGAAACACAGCTTCCTTCTGGTGTGGCGCGGTGGGGGTAACCTGAGGTTAAAGCGTTCGCTCGCTACGTCGAAGACCCGGGTTCGATTCCCCAAGTGGGTACAATGTGTGAAGCCCATTTCTGGTGTCCCCTGCCGTGATATTGCTGGAAAATTGCTAAAGGCGTCGTAAAACCAAACTCACTCACTCACTCATTCTGGTGTACAGGCCCAGGTCACTGAAGACACCACCGTAAAATTGGGTGAGGTGAGGTGAAATTGGGTTTAACGTCGTGCTTGAGAATATTTTGCTCATATGACGACGTGCATGCGTGTGTATGTGTATGTGCGGATGCTTGTACTAGCCCAGACTGAAGCTGGTTTTATAGTGCTAGGCCACTGAGACACCATGCCGCAGTGAAGCATGAATACCCCACTCAGACACATTATACTGACTCCGAGCCGACCAGTCCTTGTTGTGACCATTAATGCCGAGCGCCAGGCAGGGACCAGCAAGTGCCATATTTTAACGTATTTTGGTATGATGCGGTCGGGGATCGAACCCGCGACCTTCCGCTCTCCGGGCGGACGCTCTAACCACTACACCACGGAGGCGGTCGTGGCGCGGTGGGGGTAACCTGAGGTTAAAGCGTTCGCTCGCTACGTCGAAGACCAGGTTTCGATTCCCCACGTAGGTACAGTGTGTGAAGCCAATTTCTGGTGTCCCCCCGCCGTGATATTGCTGGAAAATTGCTAAAGGCGTCGTAAAACCAAACTCACTCACTCACTCATTCTGGTGTGGAGGTCCAGGTCACTGAAGACACCACCGTAAAATTTTAATACCACAATTTAAAGAAATAGAAGCTAAAGTTCAATTTCATCAGTGTTTACCTCGTATTAAATATCTCAGGTTCCCTATAGTTTTATATGTCACATGTCATGAGCGTCCATCTGGTATCCTATAATAATATACAGAATGTATAGAGAATGCTAAACAAATGTCCCGTGTAATACCATTGTATGAAACGACTAAATTGTTAAACAATATAGTATTACTTGGGACATAGTTTAGTATTTTATTTATTATTTGACCAACATTAGCAAAATAATTTCTCAGAATTCAACTTAAAGATTTTATATATAACGAGTGCATTACGCCGTCGTAACAAGGGTCACGCGTATGAATACATTTCATTTATGATTGTCAGCATTAGTCTATATCTAATTTGATTTTTTTTAAATAAACAAGGGGGTATGAAAAAGGAACCAAATGATTTCAACCAACAAAATATTTTTTGATACATAAATGATATTACACGCAACTGAACAAAGAACAGTGGAAACTTCTTTCTTAACAATTCAACGAGTGCATTACGCTCGCACAACTGGGTCACGCATATTGATACATTCTGATTGTTGCTGCCATTTCATTTCCTTAAAAGTAAATAAATACGATTTAAAATAACAGAGAAATTAGATTTCAAGAACCAACAAGTAGCTATGTAAAAAAAATGCTTTAAATTAAAGATCTGAAATATCACGACTTCGAGATGTGTTGTGAATAACAGCCGACATTTTGTTTTGATAACGTTACTTCGGTCATGTGACCGGATGCAAATAGTTCCGGCAGCACGCGATGTTATTACACAATGTTTAATCAGGGAATTATTTAATGTAACATATTACACAATGTGTAATAACATTGCAGATTTATTAAACAGTGATATCTTCAACGGGCGAGTAATAAACCTATCTATCGCCTTATGTCTATATAGATCCGGTTACAACCCGTTTCTCCAGATACTTATTTCGTGACTCGGGGATCGTCTGATAACATATTTCTGATGCATGTGTTAATATGAATGCAATTATTTTTAGAATATGCTATACTGTTCAATCTGAAAATTATCTAAAAGGCATTGACTTCTGTGATGGCAGCTGTGACTGTATACACGCCTCAGTGGGGTACACGAAGTTCGTGATCATAACTACCAGTTGTAGGACTTCTTCTGGAGAGTCTCTGTGGCTGAGTGGGTTTACTGGAATCACGAAGAGGTTTCACGGGCTCATAATTATGCTGTTAATGTTCATTCTGCACATATTACACTCAACAGCTAAGAAATTATAAAGACCACGACATAGCAAGCGAAATAAGTCCAATTTTGACTGACTGTTATCTTGTTACCTGTCATTCACTTTGATGTAAGTATGCTTGCTAGCTGAATGATTTTCAACGCATTGAATCAATACTTATCTGCAGGCTTCTTCGCAACTGGTGAGGCCCAACATTAAACGTTATATGTGTACATAGGATAACTGATATCCTTTCCTTTCGCTTTAAAGCATTTAAAAAACATTACCACGTATATTTATCATCTCCGGTGCAATAAGAATTCTGTTTGTCGGAATTATGGCTCTGTAGAGCTAGAATGTTATTGTTATCTTTAACAGGCGATGTTGTGTATAGCTTCCTGCTAATGTCAAGCTGCAGGCGGGGTAACAACAATTTCCATCTTTTAATGTATTTTGATATGAATTGACCAAAGGACAGAACCACTGACCCTGTGCTCTCCGGCCAACGCCTTATCCAAATCATTTTCATTGTGAAGGGAAAATATTACGCATCAACAGAAAGTTATACTTGCTGCACATAAAGATTTTTTTTTTTATAAAAAGTGATAAAAGACAACTGGCCCTTATACAATTCCCTGATTGATAAATGGGCGATAATACATATGCTTTAAGATCATACAAGTAATAAGTTGACATCATTTGTTTATTTATTTTAATTCTGAAAGATATTTACACAGATGTCATAGACAAGATAAACATCGATTAACAGCACTTGTTATGTACTCGTCTTAGGCAGGTACTTGTTTAAGTGTTCCAGGATTCTCCTCCACGAATCCTCCTGGGCAACAGCGTGTCCCTCAGTCTCTCCTCCCCCACAGCATCAGTATCTCTGTGAAGAAAAGATTGTGTCGTGACAAGATGGATGGTTTTGTTGTATAACGCCGCACTCAGCAATATTCTAGCTATATGGAAGAGGTCTGCAAATAATCGAGTATGGACAGAAGATCCAGTGATCAACGGCATGAGTGAGTGAGTGAGTTTAGTTTTACGCCGCATTCAGCAAGATTCCAGTTATATGGCGGCGGTCTGTCCGGACCAGACAATCCAGTGATCGATCTACATAAATGGGAACCGATGACATGTGTCAACCAAGCCAGCGAGCCTGACCACCCCATCCCGTTAGTCGCCTCTTACGACAAGTATGGGCTGCCGAAGACGGGTGGATCTTCACGGGTGGCAAGATGGATGTATATTATGTGGCCATTGAGCTGATATAGTTCTTCTCAAATACCTTTATCACTAGTTGACAGAGAGGTCTAAAGATCTATATTCCATTCATAATCAGAAAACATTTTGGCCATAACCTAAATAGTGCAATAAATCAATAGCTAAATTCCATAGTATTTGTAATAATACAATGTCTGATGTTTTCGAGTTTGTCCATTTAACCTTAACCAACGCCAGCATTTACTGTGGTACCCCAGGCTCGTGGCAAGCAAATTTTTTTCGTGTTAGCCCGATAGGTTGCAAAGCTTTATATTTCGATAGTATTGAGGGCTTGCGCAATCTTTTTAGCAACAATCATACGTAAGCCCGGACTATTTTTGTAATGGTAGGTGCGCCCCTGCCCACGTTTCTAGGATGTCTCCTCACCGGAACTGATCATCCCGATTTCCGGTCCCGACCTATCAAAATACGCTGAAAGATGCGTGTTGTTATCTTGAATGGCGACAATCAATAGTGGAATTAACAAGGACTGGTCAGCTCGAAGGGCTGTCACTATGAAACCGTCTTTCTACCTGGCTATCACAGGTAGAACACAGGCACGGTGTTAAATCACATCACAACACATACCAGTACTCCTAAGTAAAAACCTTCTAAGACCTCTCACATACTTGGATTACCTCCTACTCCAAGTTGACTCACCGTGAAATGATTGAACAACTGCTCAAAACGTTGTTAAATCACTCCTTGACATACACCTAACTTCGTTTGTAAAACCTAAAAAGCATGTTAAAGATAACAACACAAAAATGGTACAAAAACACATATCATAGGTCCACTCATATTCTCGTAACATGTCGCCCTCACCAAACTGTTCGTCCAGGTAGCAAGCCCGACATAAAGGTGTATAAGGTGGTTCAATCAGATGGCCCGCTCCAGGATAGAACACGCTCTGGATCGTATGCCTCTTGTCCACGGGGATCTTCATCTCCATCTCCTTGTATACCGATGACGGCAGGGCAACGTCGTCTTCGGCGATGATGGACAGAATTTTCACACCGTGACGCCATACCTGTAGATTTTTACAGGCGAGACAAGTAATGCATGTGGGAAACCGAACCATGGCTCTTTATAAGACAAGAGTACACTGCACTAACAATAAGATGCTTAAAAGTATACTTTCTGCACAATACACACTGTATGTATGACGAAGATGCTTAAAAAACTTTCTGCACAAACACGCTGTATGCATGACGAAGGTGCTTAAAAAACTTTCTGCACAAAACACGCTGTATGTATGACGATGGTGCTTAAGTGTACTTTCTGCACAATGCACGCTGTATGTATGACGAAGGTGCTAAAGTATACTTTCTATAAAATACACACTGTATGTATCACGAAGGTGCTTAAGTGTACTTTTTGCACAATACACGCTGTATGTATGACGAAGGTGCTTGACTATACTTTCTGCACAATGCACGCTGTATGTATAACGAAGGTGCTTAAGTGTACTTTCTGCACAATACATGCTGTATGTAGGACAAAGGTGCTTAAGTGTACTTTCTGCACAATACATGCTGTATTTATGACGAAGGTGCTTGACTATACTTTCTGCACAATACATGCTGTATGTATGACGAAGGTGCTTAAGTATACTTTCTATAAAATACACACTGTATGTATGACGAAGGTGCTTAAGTGTACTTTCTGAACAATACACGCTGTATGTATGACGAAGGTGCTAAAGTATACTTTCTATAAAATACACACTGTATGTATCACGAAGGTGCTTAAGTGTACTTTCTTCACAATACACGCTGTATTTATGACGAAGGTGCTTGACTATACTTTCTGCACAATGCACGCCGTATGTATAACGAAGGTGCTTAAGTGTACTTTCTGCACAATACATGCTGTATGTAGGACAAAGGTGCTTAAGTATACTTTCTATAAAATACACACTGTATGTATGACGAAGGTGCTTAAGTGTACTTTCTGCACAATACACGCTGTATGTATGACGAAGGTGCTTGACTATACTTTCAGCACAATGCACGCCGTATGTATAACGAAGGTGCTTAAGTGTACATTCTGCACAATACATGCTGTACGTAGGACAAAGGTGCTTAAGTGTACTTTCTGCACAATACACGCTGTATGTATGACGAAGGTGCTTGACTATACTTTCTGCACAATGCACGCCGTATGTATAACGAAGGTGCTTAAGTGTACTTTCTGCACAATACATGCTGTATGTAGGACAAAGGTGCTTAAGTGTACTTTCTTCACAATACACGCTGTATTTATGACGAAGGTGCTTGACTATACTTTCTGCACAATACACGCTGTATGTATGACGAAGGTGCTTAAGTATACTTTCTATAAAATACACACTGTATGTATGACGAAGGTGCTAAAGTATACTTTCTATAAAATACACACTGTATGTATCACGAAGGTGCTTAAGTGTACTTTCTGCACAATACACGCTGTATGTATCACGAAGGTGCTTAAGTGTACTTTCTGAACAATACACGCTGTATGTATGACGAAGGTGCTAAAGTAAACTTTCTATAAAATACACACTGTATGTATCACGAAGGTGCTTAAGTGTACTTTCTGCACAATACACGCTGTATGTATGACGAAGGTGCTTGACTATACTTTCTGCACAATGCACGCCGTATGTATAACGAAGGTGCTTAAGTGTACATTCTGCACAATACATGCTGTATGTAGGACAAAGGTGCTTAAGTGTACTTTCTGAACAATAAACGCTGTATGTATGACGAAGGTGCTTGACTATACTTTCTGCACAATGCACGCCGTATGTATAACGAAGGTGCTTAAGTGTACATTCTGCACAATACATGCTCTATGTATGACGAAGGTGCTTGACTATACTTTCTGCACAATGCACGCCGTATGTATAAAGAAGGTGCTTAAGTATACTTTCTTCACAATACATGCTCTATGTATGATGAAGGTGCTTAAGTATACTTTCTGCACAATGCACGCTGTATCTATGGCGAAGGTGCTTAAGTATACATTCTGCACAATACACACTGTATCATGAAGGTGCTTTAATGTACTTTCTGCACAATACACACATTTCTACCGCTGTATAAAGTTTGTTTAGTACGAAGACGCTAGGCTATTGTGTCAACATGTACCCACCGGGAGTACTGGAACATCGTCGCCGTTGAAGTCGAAGGTGGATGAAAAATACACATCGTCAATAACTTTAATTTTTGGTCTGAAAAGAAATATTAGATGTGAAGCAGGTCTTTGTGAAGGTCAAACCATGTTTTCGAGTGAAGTGAGTGTGTGCGTGCGTGAGTGAGCGTGTAGTTTACGCCGCTTTCAGAAATATTCCAGCAATATCACGGCGGGGAACACCAGAAATGGGCCTCACGCATTGTACCCATGTGGGAAATCGAACCCGGGTCTTTTTCAACACCGCCCCCTTTTCAACGAAAAAAGAATTAAAGATACAATAACTTCGTAACAGTAAAAAATACATGCTTCATTCCTACTGACTTCATGGAACTTTGCAGTCTAAATACTGAACTGAATATGTTGTATAGTATATTCAGCTATATTACACCCGTCAAAAGAGGGTCTGTTAATGCCATTGTCCACCAAACAGGTGAAACAGGTAATCGATTGTGCTAAATAGAGAGTTGTCTCTAGTTGTAAAATCCAGGTAACATGTAAGCGTTGGTCTGTGTATGTTATATTCCAGTTACTGCCTTTCACGTCCAAATACCTGTGAAGATACCAGTTAGGATTGATCTTCAGTAACCCATGCTTGTCGTAAGAGGCGAATAAAGGGATCGGGTGGTCAGGCTCGCTGTCTGGGTTGACACATGTCATCGTATCTCAGTTGCGTAGATCGATGCTCATGCTGTTGAACACTGGATTGTCTGGTCCAGTCCCGAATATATACAGACCGCCGCCATATAGCTGGAATATTGCTGAGTGCGGCGTAAAACTAAACTCACTCACTCACTCATGTCCAAATACTGTTACTAAGAGACACCGTTAATTTGTTTTTGACGACAGGCACTGGGGATGATTGTGTCCCTTATTTTGGCAGACAATCCAGTTGCAAAAGTCTACGTTAGTACTACTAGAGCAGCTGATTGAAACTTACTTTTCATATTAAATACTTTACATACGTACGGGTATCCTGGTATAAATTGTCTTTTTAAACCTTGGTCTTTGATTGGAGCGAACAGAGATCCGTTTACCGATACTGTCGCCTTTACCTGAAGATCAAAAGAGGGGTTTTGTTAGTGACAGAAATGAGGGAATATGTCCAAACGACCAATCGCACATGATAGCAGGGAGTTCCCGTGCATACACTTCTCATCCTGGTTGATCTGTCGAAATGTGTTAAGAGTGAGTGAGTGAGTTTAGTTTTACGCCGCACTCAGCAATATTCCAGCTATATGGCGGCGGTCTGTAAATAATCGAGTCTGGACCAGACAATCCAGTGATCAACAGCATGAGCATCGATCTGCTCAATTGGGAACCGATACATGTGTCAACCAAGTCAGCGAGCCTGACCACCCGATCCCGTTAGTCGCCTCTTAGGACAAGCATAGTCGCCTTTTGTGGCAAGCATGGGTTGCTGAAAACATATTCTACCCCGGATCTTCACGGGTTAAATGTGTTAAGACGTATATGTTGCCATGCACAATAGCACGGTAGCTCATCTAAAAAGACGATCCAAAAAAGAAAAACCATATAACTGCTGATGACAAGTGTAAGCCGGAAACAACTAAAGTTTTGTTTGTTTGTTTGTTTGTTTGTTGTTTAACGCTTAACATTTCAGCTATATGGGGGTGGTTTGTTAATAATTAGGTCTGAATCAAATAATCCAGTGATCAGCAGCATGAGCAATCTCGGCAATTGGGAACATACAATGGCATGTTTCAACCAAGTCAGGGAGCCTGATCAGCCGATCCCGTTAGCTGCCTTTTACGACAAGCGTGGGTTACTGAAGACCAATACTTTCAAACTAAAGTAATGGCATTTTCACACACCTTTCATTGCCTAGTTACTAGGAGGTAAAGTTTTAAAGTTCAAGATATTTTTAAAAGTGGCAGTGTTTCAGGTGTATATGTCCATATATGTCACAGTAGAAGGAGCAAAGAGACCACATACACACAATTCCGATGACAAAGTGTGAACTTATTTGTAAAACAAGCATTTAAATTTCAGATGTCAGTGACAAGGCTGTCATCTGGTTTTATTTTGTTAGTACATGTTTATTTGTAGAAAGTGGGGTACACGAAGTTCGTGATCATAACTACCAGTTGTCGGACTTCTTCTGGAGAGTCTCTGTGGCTGAGTGGGTTTACTGGAATCACGAAGAGGTTTCACGGGCTCATAATTATGCTGTTAATGTTCATTCTGCACATATTACACTCAACAGCTTAGAAATTATAAAGACCACGACATAGCAAGCGAAATAAGTCCAATTTTGACTGACTGTTATCTTATTACCTGTCATTCACTTTGATATAAGTATGCTTGCTTGCTGAATGATTTTCAACGCATTAAATCAATACTTATCTGCAGGCTTCTTCACAACTGGTAAGGCCTAACATTAAAACGTTATATGTGTACATAGGATAACTGATATCTCCTGTGTGTTTCTTTTCGCTTTAAAGCATTTTAAAAAAAACATTACCACGTATATTTATCATCTCCGGTGCAATAAGAATTCTGTTTGTCGGAATTATGGCTCTGTAGAGCTAGAATGTTATTGTTATCTTTAACAGGCGATGTTGTGTATAGCTTCCTGCTAATGTCAAGCTGCAGGCGGGGTAACAACAATTTCCATCTTTTAATGTATTTTGATATGAATTGACCAAAGGACAGAACCACTGACCCTGTGCTCTCCGGCCAACGCCTTATCCAAATCATTTTCATTGTGAAGGAAAATATTACGCATCAACAGAAAATTATACTTGCTGCACATAGAGATTTTTTTATCAAAGTGATAAAGAAAAATGGCCCTTACACAATTCCCTGATTGATAAATGGGCGACCCCTTAGCCGCTGAGATAACCACGGTTCATAGATGTGAGGAATACCATACGTCCCTTTCATAGAATAGGTTTTCAGAAACCCATGCTTCTTCTCAGAGGCGACTAATGGGATAAAGTGGTCAGACTCGCTGACTTGGGCCTCCCTTTTCACAAAGCACTAAGGTGATCGTAAGTCACCAAGGTAACCTCAGTGCAGTGTTAAAGAATGTGAGTTAAGGTTAACCTTAGAAAAGGTTGCTTCGTGAAAGGAGCCCCTGGTTGATGCCGAATCGTATCCAGTTGCGTAGATCGTAGCTCATCATCTCAGTCATAAGATCGTTACACCATGAGTCGATTACTTACAGACCACTGGAATTTTGACTAGTGCGGCGTTGAACATACAATCAAAACGAGTACTTCCCAGTATCAGTAGAAGTTCGAGAGCTCGGTAACCCAATGCCACCCCTGTTTAGGTCTATGCCACCCCGTTTAGGTCTATCCAGTCACACTGGCGATAATACATATCCTTTAAGATCATACAAGTAATAAGTTGACATCATTTGTTTATTTATTTTAATTCTGAAGATATTTACACAGATGTCATAGACAAGATAAACATCGATTAACAGCACTTGTTATGTACTCGTCTTAGGCAGGTACTTGTTTAAGTGTTCCAGGATTCTCCTCCACGAATCCTCCTGGGCAACAGCGTGTCCCTCAGTCTCTCCTCCCCACAGCATCAGTATCTCTGTGAAGAAAAGATTGTGTCGTGACAAGATGGATGGTTTTGTTGTATAACGCCGCACTCAGCAATATTCTAGCTATATGGTAGAGGTCTGCAAATAATCGAGTCTGGACAGAAGATCCAGTGATCAACGGCATGAGTGAGTGAGTGAGTTTAGTTTTACGCCGCATTCAGCAAGATTCCAGTTATATGGCGGCGGTCTGTAAATCGAGTCTGGACCAGACAATCCAGTGATCATCAGCGTGAGCATCGATCTACATAAATGGGAACCGATGACATGTGTCAACCAAGCCAGCGAGCCTGACCACCCGATCCCGTTAGTCGCCTCTTACGACAAGTATAGGCTGCCGAAGACGGGTGGATCTTCACGGGTGGCAAGATGGATGTATATTATGTGGCCATTGAGCTGATATTTTTCTTCTCTAATACCTTTATCACTAGTTGACAGAGAGGTCTAAAGATCTATATTCCATTCATAATCAGAAAACATTTTGGCCATAACCTAAATAGTGCAATAAATCAATAGCTAAATTCCATAATTTACAAGTGTAGTATTTGTAATAATACAACGTCTGATGTTTTCGAGTTCCTTGTCCATTTAACCTTAACCAACGCCAGCATTTACTGTGGTACCCCAGGCACGTAGCAAGCAAATCTTTTTCGTGTAAGCCCGATAGGTTGCAAAGCTTTATATTTCGATAGTATTGAGGGCTTGCGCAACCTTTTAGCAACAATCATACGTAAGCCCGGGCTATTTTTGTAATGGTAGCTGCGCCCCTGCCCACGTTTCTAGGATGTCTCCTCACCGGAACTGATCATCCCGATTTCCGGTCCCGACCTATCAAAATACGCTGAAAGATGCGTGTTGTTATCTTGAATGGCGCCAATCAATAGTGGAATTAACAAGGACTGGTCAGCTCGAAGGGCTGTCACTATGAAACCGTCTTTCTACCTGGCTATCACAGGTAGAACACAGGCACGGTGTTAAATCACATCACAACACATACCAGTACTCCTAAGTAAAAACCTTCTAAGACCTCTAACATACTTGGATTACCTCCTACTCCACGTTGACTCACCGTGAAATGACTGAACAACTGCTCAAAACGTTGTTAAATCACTCCTTGACATACACCTAACTTCGTTTGTAAAACCTAAAAAGCATGTTAAAGATAACAACACAAAAATGGTACAAAAACACATATCATAGGTCCACTCATATTCTCGTAACATGTCGCCCTCACCAAACTGTTCGTCCAGGTAGCAAGCCCGACATAAAGGTGTATAAGGTGGTTCAATCAGATGGCCCGCTCCAGGATAGAACACGCTCTGGATCGTATGCCTCTTGTCCACGGGGATCTTCATCTCCATCTCTTTGTATACCGATGACGGCAGGGCAACGTCGTCTTCGGCGATGATGGACAGAATTTTCACACCGTGACGCCATACCTGTAGATTTTTACAGGCGAGACATGTAATGCATGTGGGAAACCGAACCATGGCCTCTTTATAAGACAAGCGTACACTGCACTAACACTAAGATGCTTAAGTATACTTTCTGCACAATACACACTGTATGTATGACGAAGACGCTTAAAAATACTTTCTGCACAATACACGCTGTATGTATGACGAAGGTGCTTAAGTGTACTTTCTACACAATACACGCTGTATGTATGACGAAGGTGCTTAAGTATACTTTCTGCAAAATACACGCTGTGTGTATGACGAAGGTGCTTGAGTATACTTTCTGCACAATACACGCTGTATGTATCACGAAGGTGCTTAAGTGTACTTTTGCACAATACACGCTGTATGTATGACGAAGGTGCTGTGACTATACTTTCTGCACAATACACGCTGTATGTATATAACGAAGGTGCTTAAGTGTACTTTCTGCACAATACATGCTGTATGTATAACAAAGGTGCTTAAGTGTACTTTCTCTGCACAATACACGCTGTATTTGCTTATGACGAAGGTATGTATGTATGACGAAGGTTTGACTATACTTTCTGCACAATGCACGCTGTATGTATGACGAAGGTGCTTAAGTATACTTTCTATAAAATACACACTGTATGTATGACGAAGGTGCTTAAGTGTACTTTCTATAAAATACACACTGTATGTGCTGACGAAGGTGCTAAAGTATACTTTCTGCACAATACATACACTGTATGTATGACGAAGGTGCTTAAGTGTACTTTCTGCACAATACACGCTGTATGTATGACGAAGGTGCTTAAGTGTACTTTCTGAACAATACACGCTGTATGTATGACGAAGGTGCTAAAGTAAACTTTCTATAAAATACACACTGTATGTATCACGAAGGTGCTTAAGTGTACTTTCTGCACAATACACGCTGTATGTATGACGAAGGTGCTTACAGTATACTTTCTGCACAATGCACGCTGTATATGTATGACGAAGGTGCTTAACTGTACTTTCTGCACAATACATGCTGTATGTATGAACGAAGGTGCTGAAGGTGTAAGTGTACTTTCTGCACAATACATGCTGTATGTAGGACGAAGGTGCTTAAGTATACTTTCTGCACAATACACGCTGTATGTATGACGAAGGTGCTTAAGTATACTTTCTGCACAATGCACGCTGTATGTATGACGAAGGTGCTTAAGTGTACTTTCTGCACAATACATGCTGTATGTATGACGAAGGTGCTGATGACGAAATGGTGCTTGACTATGTACTTTCTGCACATAATATAGTAATGCACGCCTTAAGTATGTATACACACTGATGTGATGAAGGTGCTTAAGTATACTTTCTTCACAATACATGCTCTATGTATGATGAAGGTGCTTAAGTATACTTTCTGCACAATACACACTGTATCATGAAGGTGCTTTAATGTACTTTCTGCACAATACACACATTTCTACCGCTGTATAAAGTTTGTTTAGTACGAAGACGCTAGGCTATTGTGTCAACATGTACCCACCGGGAGTACTGGAACATCGTCGCCGTTGAAGTCGATGGTGGATGAAAAATACACATCGTCAATAACTTTAATTTTTGGTCTGAAAAGAAATATTAGATATCGACTGTGAAGCAGGTCTTTGTGAAGGTCAAACCATGTTTTGTGAGTGAAGTGAGTGTGTGCGTGCGTGAGTGATTGAGTGTGTAGTTTTACGCCGCTTTTAGACATATTCTAACAATATCACGGCGGGGACACCAGAAATGGGCCTCACGCATTGTACCCATGTGGGCAATCGAACCCGGGTCTTTTCAACACCGCCCCTTTTCAACGAAAAAAGAATTAAAGATACAATAACTTCGTAACAGTAAAAAATACATGCTTCATTCCTACTGACTTCATGGAACTTTGCAGTCTAAATACTGAACTGAATATGTTGTATAGTATATTCAGCTATATTACACCCGTCAAAAGAGGGTCTGTTAATGCCATTGTCCACCAAACAGGTGAAACAGGTAATCGATTGTGCAAAATAGAGAGTTGCCTCTAGTTGTAAAATCCAGGTAACATGTAAGCGTTGGTCTGTGTATGTTATATTCCAGTTACTGCCTTTCACGTCCAAATACCTGTGAAGATACCAGTTAGGATTGATCTTCAGTAACCCATGCTTGTCGTAAGAGGCGAATAAAGGGATCGGGTGGTCAGGCTCGCTGTCTGGGTTGACACATGTCATCGTATCTCAGTTGCGTAGATCGATGCTCATGCTGTTGAACACTGGATTGTCTGGTCCAGTCCCGAATATATACAGACCGCCGCCATATAGCTGGAATATTGCTGAGTGCGGCGTAAAACTAAACTCACTCACTCACTCATGTCCAAATACTGTTACTAAGAGACACCGTTAATTTGTTTTTGACGACAGGCACTGGGGATGATTGTGTCCCTTATTTTGGCAGACAATCCAGTTGCAAAAGTCTACGTTAGTACTACTAGAGCAGCTGATTGAAACTTACTTTTCATATTAAATACTTTACATACGTACGGGTATCCTGGTATAAATTGTCTTTTTAAACCTTGGTCTTTGATTGGAGCGAACAGAGATCCGTTTACCGATACTGTCGCCTTTACCTGAAGATCAAAAAGAGAGGGTTTTTTGTTAGTGACAGAAATGAGGGGAATATGTCCAAACGACCAATCGCACATGATAGCAGGGAGTTCCCCGTGCATACACTTCTCATCCTGGTTGATCTGTCGAAATGTGTTAAGAGTGAGTGAGTGAGTTTAGTTTTACGCCGCACTCAGCAATATTCCAGCTATATGGCGGCGGTCTGTAAATAATCGAGTCTGGACCAGACAATCCAGTGATCAACAGCATGAGCATCGATCTGCTCAATTGGGAACCGATACATGTGTCAACCAAGTCAGCGAGCCTGACCACCCGATCCCGTTAGTCGCCTCTTAGGACAAGCATAGTCGCCTTTTGTGGCAAGCATGGGTTGCTGAAAACATATTCTACCCCGGATCTTCACGGGTTAAATGTGTTAAGACGTATATGTTGCCATGCACAATAGCACGGTAGCTCATCTAAAAAGACGATCCAAAAAAGAAAAACCATATAACTGCTGATGACAAGTGTAAGCCGGAAACAACTAAAGTTTTGTTTGTTTGTTTGTTTGTTTGTTGTTTAACGCTTAACATTTCAGCTATATGGGGGTGGTTTGTTAATAATTAGGTCTGAATCAAATAATCCAGTGATCAGCAGCATGAGCAATCTCGGCAATTGGGAACATACAATGGCATGTTTCAACCAAGTCAGGGAGCCTGATCAGCCGATCCCGTTAGCTGCCTTTTACGACAAGCGTGGGTTACTGAAGACCAATACTTTCAAACTAAAGTAATGGCATTTTCACACACCTTTCATTGCCTAGTTACTAGGAGGTAAAGTTTTAAAGTTCAAGATATTTTTAAAAAGTGGCAGTGTTTCAGGTGTATATGTCCATATATGTCACAGTAGAAGGAGCAAGAGACCACATACACACAATTCCGATGACAAAGTGTGAACTTATTTGTAAAACAAGCATTTGAATTTCAGATGTCAGTGACAAGGCTGTCATCTGGTTTTATTTTGTTAGTACATGTTTATTTGTAGAAAAGAAACAAAACGTTTATAATACAAGTATATTGTACTTCATGCAAAGAAAACAATCCGTACCTTTGGACAGAATGATGCCAGCATGTTGGCGATGCCACCTCCGAGAGAAGTGCCAACAACACCGATGCCGCCAGGGGCTGCTTGTCCGTGCTGACTCAGCCATTCTGCAGCTTCCTAGTCACACAAGTTATAATGGAATTGTCAATATAGCCTGTCTTACTGTCCCTAAACCACACTACTTTCCCTTTCTGCAATGTTAAAGCTCTAAATGAAGAAAGTTTAGATTTCCTGAGGTTCAGAATATCACTGGGTCTCCTTATCAATTTAAATTGAATTATTGTTTGTTTCTTTTAAAAATACATATATTCATAGACTCAGCGTTAGTCTGTTGCCAGTACAACCTCATCAATATCTACGCGGAATGTGTGGTGTAAAGGTGACTTCGTTCGTTGTTTGACCGGCTGAGTAGTTCGTTGTGTGGCTGGTTGAGTGTTCGATTGAGTGTTTGGTTGAGTGTGAGTATTTGAGTGGCTGAGGGGTTAAATGTATGAGTGAGTTGTTGGGTGTTTGAATGAGTGGCTGAATGGGTGGTTGCGTATCAGTTTTTGAGTGCTGTTGGGTGGATGAAGTGAGTGGCTGTGTTGGATTGAGGGAGGATAGAAAACACGACTAGATCAAGGTTTCCTGTAAGTTTAGAGGAGACAAATCAGTGGTTAACAGCGCCGATAAGCGCCAGCAGACTAGTAGGACACAATAAGACACTTAACACATTGTGATTAGCTGTTTCCCATTTTAGTCCCTTCTCACGGAATGCATGGATGCTGAAAACAGGGAATTCCCTTAAGTTTTCGGGCCTGTTGATTGAAATGTAAGGATAAAAGTGTGACGAGTCAGTCGGCGTCCATTTCGGTCGTACAAGCTGGTACAGGTGCATACGCTACACCAGCCACCACTCAGTGGCAATTATCGTCGATATTTACAGTCCGTTTGAGTCAGAAACGGACCGATGAATTGCAAATTTTATCATTGTACAAAATTGCCACATAAATATAAATAGTACACATGTTTATCATTTACTAATACCCAACAGCTTTCTTATATTTGAAAATTTTCCGGACTCCACCAAAAAAAGTTCTTTAAGAAACTATCATTAAACTTTTGACACAGTTCACTATTTGTTACGAGGGAGGAGTGCAGGGAAAGGGACAGCCAGGTGTGCGAAAAGGATGGAGACGGCAGAGCACAGGATAATGAATCAATAAATTGGTGGGCACTTGTGCACGTGCTTCTCTAACACCTGGCTGTCCCTTTCTCTGCACTCCTCCCTCGTAACAAATAGTGAACTGTGTCAAAATTTTAATGACAGTTTCTTAAAGAACTTTTTTGGCGGAGTCCGGAAAATTTTCAAATATAAGAAAGCTGTTGGGTATTAGTAAATGATAAACATGTGTACTATTTATATTTATGTGGCAATTTTGTACAATGATAAAATTTGCAATTCATCGATCCGTTTCTGACTCAAACGGACTGTACGGAAGATACGGTCTTTTCAGGCCCAAGTGTACCGCGTAACTCATATCAGTATGAAGTACATAACTGTAACCACATCCGCACTCCCAGATCTGAAACTCCGAGTCTGAAGGAATGATCGGTGAAGGGAATTATAATCATGAGCCACTAAAACAAGCGATCTTTGACAACGTATACCCATGTGGGCGATTTTCTAATATGATAAGACCATACAAAAACCGACTCTGACTGGCTTACGTCATATAGCTCTGCGTCATGCATTAGTTGTCATTAAGCAACTTCAATTGTACTTTGGGCCACTGTGCCTCAACTATTTAATAAAACCTGCTTGTATGTCGTTAAACAACAAACACACCAACAAACGAACTGTCTCACCTGGAAATAACTGTCTCACCTGGAAATAACCATATTCAAGTTCGTCAAAGTCGTTGGGAAGGCCGTCGTATCCCAAGTAGGCCAGTGCAAATGTAAGAAATCCCTGGAGGCGAGAAGGGCCGCCCGAAACTCAAACAGACCACCTGTACCTCCAAACATGTCAAGGACCGCGGGAATGGCCCATCGCCTTAAACAGTACGTATTGCAATTTTGTTGATGTTAGGATTATAGAAACGTACGTTTGTACGTGAACATGTGATTACGCATTTCAGAAAACTGTTATAAGTACTATAATCGTTTCGTCTTTAGTCATGGAAGAACAGTTAAGAATCCTCGATTTGGGTGTATACTATCATATTATGAATGTTTGAGTGAATAGGTAGAAATAGATATTTTAAACGGACCCCTGTTTATCCACTCACCGTCTGTTTTGACAAAATTGTCAAGGTGAGGCAAAATGGAAAATAACGTAGGCACACTGAGACATAAAACTTGCATACCCTACTCAGACATATGACAATGACTCCAAGCAGACCGATCCTTGTTTTATCTTCAGTCCTATAGGTATGCTAACACGGTGTCAGATCTGTTTATGTGTTTTACATTTACGAAGCCATTAAATATACAAAATTAGTCTCACTACGCTCTTACTCAATCCCTGTAATGTAATAGGTTCCATATTCGATTCCTTTAGTGCAATATTTTCAAAATGTGGCTTTATAAAAAAAATAAGAGACTAGTATAAAATGTTACTTCATCAAATACATGTCTGTTAACATGATTCACAAAGAACTAGACAAAGCCTTTGCCACTGGTCAGCAAATAGCAAACAGTCGTATATTCATATTGCATATTTACCTGAAGGAACAAACAGAGTTCCTCGTATTCGCCCAATTTTGATGGGGAATCTTTGCACTCCTTTGCTTATGTACCTCCGTCTCACGTGTGTTGCAGCTATTACTCCTGACGTGTTACTTGCTGATTGGATGGATTCAAGGTCCAAATGACTTGATTGGACCGATATGGTGACATCGTATGGAACTGTGACGTCTATATTCAGTAGGCGCGTTGTCCTTCTGTGTTTCATTGATGGCACCATGGACCAGAAAAGTCCCATAGGTTCAACACCTGAAACGTTGTTATTTACTATTATCAACAAATTGTTCATGGCACTCTTTTGTAAACTGTCAGTTCGTAAGTACTAGGTTTGGTCCTTCATAGTCCTATACATGTTTTTCAAAGTTCAAATAAGTGTTTTTGGGAAGTACATATTCACAAATGGTAGGAGTTTAATTAAACAGAATACTAACTTTGCCAGCGGAACTGCTACAAAGAAAAAAGACATCGTAGGTATACTGCTATAACTATAATAAATGAAAAAATGCCTTATTTTTAATATGTATATTTATATACACTATAGATTCCTATTACGCCTCTTTTAGTTATGATTAAATAATCAGCTTGACGTTGCCCAGTCACAATAACGCGATGTAGAGGGACACTGACATATTAGATGGTTGAGAAAGGTGGACATGGAAACCAAATACTTGGCAAATAGAAAGTCTTGTAAAAACTCCGCTGTAGATCTGGATGTTGCCAAGTGACGTATACTCACCCATATAGGACCCGCCTTGACTTGAATGGACTGTTGTATCCACATGACCAGTTTCATCAGCTGTATAGTGTGCGCAGGACACAAACTCCTTTTTGCCCCCACTCAGAAGAGCAGAAAGAGTCATCTTCTGATGACGCTGAAGGCCTGATACTCTGATCGCCACAGGTTCATCTATCAAGGCATCGGACGGTTCTACGGTCAGAGTTAGGGGTGAAACATTCAACGCTAACGATCTTGAAATGACTTGAAGGCGACGGATAGATTTGCAACGGATCAGACTGCAACCGCCTGCCATGTTTAGCAAGAAGCGCTTGTAGAGATGGCAGTTTTTTTTCTGAAAACGGTAAAACAGAATTTTTGGCATCCTGTTGGTCTTTTTAGGAAATTAGGAGACTATTCTAAGAAAATGCTGAACGCGCTGTATACAAGTTCTCGTATAACCGAAATAACTGGATTTTAAACAAAATGAAAATTCAAACTGTATGCCTTGAAGAAATGAAGGAAACATTCTGGCACAAATTTCAGCCTCCAAATAGAAATCTGCAATCAGACTGACTGACTGACTGAGTTTAGTTTTACGCCGCTTTCAGCAATATTCCAGCAATATCACGGCGGGGGACACCAGAAATGGGCTTAACACATTGTGCCCATGTGGGGAATCGAACCCGAGTCTTCGGCGTGACGAGCCAACGCTTTAACCACTAGGCTACCCCACACCCCTCTGCAATCAGATCTCACTTCATTAATATGTATTCAGATACAGTTGGTTAATACATACATTACCTGAAATATAATTCTATCACGGCTTTGTGGGATATCAAATTCTGATTGGTTAATTACTGACCACGATCGATCTTAAACCTAAATGAAATGAATTACACGGACCGTTGAACCTGCGTATGAATACATAGCTCTCGCTCACCCTATTGTTTGTAAACAAACATGTCGTCAGAATTGGACATCGGCGATTTTCACCTCTACCGGGTGTTTGGACACAACGCCGATTTGTCTGCAGCACAAAAAAATAGTACTCTACCATCCTCCAGACCGACAGTGAAAGCACAAATCCTAACCTGAAGCCTTTGGTCTCCGTTGTGGTTTCAGTAGTAACCCCTCCACTGACCAAGTCCCACACCCACTCCTGGAAACACGGCCTGTCACGCCTCTGTGCCTTTGCGCGCTAGAATGGATATCAATCTTTCTGTTTCATTGTTGCGGTCCATTAGCTTGTGATGTAAAGCCGGTAAATGTTTGATTTAATAGGGCACTGATTAGGGCTCTCACGAGTACTCGGGTACTCGGGGCCGAGTCGGGTAAAGCAGGACTCGAGTCCAATTGAATGGACTCGAGGACTCGCAGGGGAGATACCTCTAAACATCTCATGCAATCAAGATGGATGATCGTGAGAAAAAATCCAATGTCTGGACGCATTTTTATCTTGATTTAGTGGCCAAAATACGAAATGCCGTCTTTGTGGCGTTCCCCTTAGTTACGCAAGCATTTGTCCTGTAAGCACCCACAATAAGCACTGTAGACAGAAAACCAGCTCAACAAGCAACGCTGGGGCAGTTTGGTAAGTTTGATAGCAAAAGTCGCAAGCCTGTTGACAGGAAATGGTATGAAGGTATTACGCAAAAAGCAATGCTTGTGCGCGTTAAGGATATGCGACCATTAAGTCTTGTTAAAGGGGGAGGGTTTCAGGGCTTTCTGTGAACCATTGAACCCAAATTACCAGGTCCCATGTACTGCGACAATTCACAACTACCTCATAAAGTCGTATGAAGTTTGCAAGGAGAACAAAATATCAGTACCCAAAACAGTACCTGCCGTTGCCCTAACTACGGACGCGTGGACAAGCGTAGCCACTCACGGCTGTATCACTGTCCCTGCCCACTATACCTATGTTTGAACAACTTGTTTTCTACATAGATATTCAGTCGTTCTTATCCAGCGTATTTCTGTGTTACATATTCAACAATCAACACATACATACGCATTCAAAATAACATTCACACTTGGAGACCTATATCCTTAATAGTGAAAATTTTAATCACAATGAATACCATTGACGTGATCTCCGTTCAGCAGAGTTTCGGAAGAAGAAATACAGCGTAGTGTTCCTCAATAAATGGTTAGTCTTTAGTTTGAAACCAAACCGTTTTCACTATAAGAAGCCTCAAATAAACATCAATCCTGTTTTACATATTCTTTAAGTTCCATAGTCGATCTATCTTTACAAGATACTAGTATCTAATGCAGCACCAATCAATGAATGCTTTATCTATGAATCTTCCAGCTTTGGAACGTGTTTTGCCGTATTTTAACCGTGATTAAGGTTAATTGATTATGTGACTTATCGTCCAGGTGAATGTTTAAAAGTTGCTAATATGTCATAACTGCAACGACATATAAATATTAAATAATCTTGAAAGCGCAGTCAAACTTAAAACCAAAAGAAAAGAGAAGTAGATTGATTGGTTTCTTTTCCCGGACACATCCAATCATATTACAGCATTTACAGGCGTAATAAGGTATCACCGGCCCAGCTCATGAATGTTAATCACATAATTGATCGCGTAGAACTGAGTCACAGTGACACTTACGTTGCCTTCACATTCTGTTTGCAAATAAAAAAGGTAATAGTTACTTCCATTGAAATTGAATATCAATTGCTTTATTCAGGAACGTTTGGATTCACATATACATGTTGCATTATTCGTAGATTGGAAGTACGAACAGGTACGTGTATGCTTGAATGTTGGTTTCAGATAAGCATCCAAATTGTCGGGTACTCGGGTCCGAGTCGGGTCTGACACCTCGAGTACTCGAGTCCCAAATTTTGGACTCGTGAGAGCCCTAGCACTGATCCAGAACGATTAATGTTTCGCGCCAACAATCTAATGACGTCAGGTGGTCAGACCTGCTCCCTCGACCGTGACGGACACAGGGACTGGGCAGCTGTCCACCTTGGAGAATTTAAACAATAGGACAATAAGAACGATGAATGCCCATTAGATGTCGTTATTGGAAAGGTGTCGTCTCAGGACGCCGACCTTCCGATTTTCTACTAATCTCAGGACGCCGACCTGTGGTTTCCTTTGAAGGTTAGGTTCTGATTAGGCTTAATTAGCGTTGCGGATAATCTACTCTAGATGTTTTGATAAGGTCCACTCGTCGCACATATCACTTCCGGTTGATTGAAAAGTTTACAATAACACTTAGCAGAGTGCCAATATTGAACACTGTTCATATCTTTGGTATAAATATCTATGGAATGGCCAAAGGATTCACATTCGATTTCGAAATGGCAAATGCACCGCTCGATCAGAGATTCATCCCTACAGCTCGCGGCAGTCGTTACTTGGTTGTTGGCGGGTTCATGTACAGAGTCACCAGGAGAAAACGAGACTGGATATCTTGGATATGTACAGCAAAAGACTCATGAAGACCGCTGCCGACAACTCGGAGACTACATGACCAACTTCTGGGTGGAGGGAGATCTGCACATGGCGCAATGGAACCACCACAACACAGACGGGCCAAGAACAAACAACCACCCAGAAGGGTGGCATTCACGCCTGAAGAAATACGTCGGCAAGGCTCATCCAAACATTTTCGAGATTGTGTCGTTGCTGTCACGAGAACAGACCAACACCGAAAACAAGTTGGTCCAGTATGCGGCTGGCCAGAAGCGTCCGTCCAAGAAGAGGAAATACGGGGATTTGGAGCGACGACTGGATGACATTTGTCCCGAGCTTGAACAAGGAACACTGTCCGTGAGGCAGTTTGCTCGTTCTGCATCCCACCTATTGCATTTAAGTTAAAATCTGTGAAAAAATGCTATAGGAATTTACGATGTACATGTATTCATTAAAAATTCTAAAATCTGTCAACTGATAAAAATCTGTCATCTGTTGTCATCTTCTCATTAGGTGCGCTCTCATCCACATAATCCGGATTATCCTCTTCTAACAACTCTTTGATCCTGCATTGTCCTCGTAATCCATTCTTAATTGGCAAAATGTAACTAGTCTCAGGACGTCGACCCTTATATTTCACTCAACCGTAAAGTTTGGTCGAAAGGTCGGCGTTATGAGCCTGAACCATTGGAAAATATACCAGGTAGTTCTTGTCTGATTGCAATGAAGTATCCTAGCAGTGTAGGCTTTTACGGATTTTCTGATGAATGGTATGATAACTGACCCTATTTCTGTGTGTTTTAATCATGTCATGTAACAATGTGATGTCTATTGACATTTGATATTAAAACACGCATTTGATTTAATTGAATCCGTAAACTAAATCACCCCCACTTTGCCATTGCTAGAAAACTCTTAAAATTTACTTAAGGAAAAAGGTATGTACAATTTCTAACTTTAGTTCACAACAAATGCTTTTATGTATTTCTTATGCAACAACGAAGTTCGTTTGTATCCTCAAAACAGCGTAAGTTTTTTAGGCGATACAGCTATCACTACTCACTTGATGTAACCCATGTTTGGTGGTATAAACATACAATTGTTTATTTGTCATCATTCACTTGATGGTCAGTTAATATATTTATAACAGGTATAATAAAATTACGTCGCTTTTTCCCAGTAACATCACAGCTGAGAACACCAGAAATGGGCTTCACACATTGTACCCATGTGGGGAATCGAACCCGGGCCCACTGCGTGACGAGCGAACGCTACCCCACCGCCCTGTGTGGTATAGACAAAGATCGATACGGGTCTTCTGGTAATTGTGTCCTTGTAATTCACGTGCTGCTATAAATTTGAAGAAATGAAGATAAATATGTCACGTCTCAAGCTGTCAACTTCAATATAATGTTCAAATACATTAATGACAATGTAAGTTACTGGATGGAACGTTTTTTATTGTTTCTTCATATTGACCCAACTTTGCAGTTAACTGGAATATAATAAAAGTGTTCTACACAACTGAGAGAAATATTTCATATAAATATATATCTATTAAAGATTTCCGGGCAAAGATTTGCTGCAGCTGATAACAAGAATAACAGTTGTAAACAGCAAGTAATTTCGCAATCCGTTTTAGTTGCCAATTCCTATTTCATATATCAAGATTTAAACAACTGCCGCTGTATGTGCAAGAAAAATATGGAAGATAATCCATGTAAACTATGTAAGTTGCGAGATTAGCAAATCAATACATTACCAGGCAATTCACATTTCGTTTCATACAGTTCCGTATTTTCTATAAACCCATCGCCAGTTCTATTTCCGCTTATATCCCTCAACCTTTTCTGAGTGACAGATGATTATACTAATAACTGGCACTTCCATTCTCTACATCCCAGATTGTGAGACATATATATTTTTAAGTTTCCCTACGTTGCGACCCTAACTGCACCCAAACTGGGAATATACCCTCGGTATCGTGACCGCTCTCGGCAGGGAGAACCGTGCCTGCATAAACAGTTAACTTTTTTCAAGATGTAACATAAAACAAACAATGTTCGACTTACATAGATTCCCTTTGGCTTTGAGTCGTCCTCGAGAACAACTTCACCCAACCGTCGGATATGGATGAAACGCAACACGCTCATACATGTGATACTGCATTCCTGAGGCGCACTGGTGAAACTACGGCAGCCCGTTTGCGCCACAATTTGTAAACCGTGGCTATTCACACACATGCAAGCGTAACTGTGTCTGTGCTATCATTTAACACTAATAACTCATTCGTTCATCAACAGATTTTCTGTCCTCATGCCTTACATAGGCATAGGATCCGGGGATAGTTATGTCATCAGTGTGCTCATATGATAGCATACGTCTTATTATCACACATAATGTACCATTTTAAAACCATTTGGAAGTGACAAATATTGAAATTTAACAAGGAGTTTGACTGGATCGGATTGCAAAATGCGATACTTAATTCTTTGTTGTTTTTTCCTAAATTCTATTTAAGACTATGATTTTTTGAAAGTTTACAAATATGTAAATACAATTTCTGTGGGATTATATGCGGCATAGAAGGCCAGTTTTCATGAGAAACGTACCTAAGGCTTTACAAGTTTGGCTGTTATGTAGTGTATGCATTTGCACGTTTGGTGTGAGTAGATATAAAGTTCAGTCTACAGCACAGACAATAGAAACTATGTTACAACAATGCGATAACAATGCAGTAATTAGCTAAAACAAAAGCCCATATACCACATAAAAAAATCACACATTTTATGCTAGAATGGGCAAAAACAAAGAAACCAATGACCAGAAATCCCACATTTCATCCCACATCCCACACCCGATACCAAACATAGACAAACAGTAGAGTAATTAGCTACTAATCTCACATCTCAGATTCATTAAGCTTATTGATACACAATGTCTCCTTCATTAAGTACTTAATGAATGATTTGAACGGGTAAGCTATTGATTATGAATGTTTTTCCACTATATTTGAATTACGGTTTACTCAGAGTGAGTCACAATGATTGGAATGTTGACCATTCAAATGTACATAACAATTCTTTGTACTGAAAAGAGAGGCGTCCCTGGTCCTGACAGAACACCTTTTTGAGAAATGCTGTATCACGATGTTGTACGTGGTTGCATAGATGGAGACTATGTAGTGTTGCCGAGTTAATGGATGAAAAACTTAACCAACATCGTTTTCATCTGAGAATGAACATCCAAGTTCATTACTCGTCAACATAACAATGGGAGAGGTTGACATACAAGTAAAAAAATATATATCTCGTTATAAACATAAATTCTAAGGTTAACCATCGCTAGACTCCTACCACACACGCACACTAATAGTCGTTATATTCCTATCACAGACAGATAACATCTACACTGATGTAGAATTGAAATGATTGTCTAATTAAAACCCAGGGGGGTGTTATTCCTATCGTGTCATCAGCATGTTCATGCAAGAGTTTTTCTCATTATCCTGTCGCGACAAAATGCTGACAAGTAGCTTTGCTCTGTAGGTCAAAATGGTTAGTGTTGTATCGCTGTCTATAGAACTGAGATACACAAGACCCCACCCTGTCACGTTTCATCATTTTCTCATAGAATTGGAGATATACAAGAAATGAATATTCTATTAATTGTTAGCACAGTGCCTTGCAGTTCTTTTCAGTACGCACACCTGTTGCATTATCAATAGCTCAAAACAAATTTAAGTGTTTTGTAAAAATTCGTTTGAATCTTAAAACGTATTACCGTCTGCAACAGATTTAGTGGGGAATATTCCATGTAATGGATGTCCACGTTACATTTAATGCTAAAAAACAGTACCAACTTAAAATTGGAAATAATAATAACGCTTCGGATATTATTTTTGATTTCGAAACAGCTTCGAAATTAAAAGCATTATTTATCGACTTCTTTCAGGAAGTTAGAAATTTTAAATCTAAGACACACAACATCATCACCGGTTGTTTGTTGATTCGTATTATCAACAACTTTCATTTTAGTTTTGATCGACTGTTTGGAAAACTTACCATTCAGAAATTAGACACTGGCTACGATGTGGTATTGGATACAGAACACATGAAAACAGTTGTAGAATATTTGATAAAACCTGATGCTATTGTGGAGGTTCATCGATTCCGAGAAGAATACAAAGATAACTTATAGAAGGTGAGTATATTCATTATTTATATAGAGTAGATGTTTCAGTACTCTATCTCTTTGTTGTTTAATCATTCTGTGCACTTTACCTCATCAAAAAGTCTGTCATATACAGGTATCCTCAATGTTTTCATTCCCATTGAGGGGCGGTGGGGTAGCCTAGTGGTTAAAGCGTTGGCTCGTCACGCCGAAGACCCGGGTTCGAATCCCCACATGGGTACAATGTGTGAAGCCCATTTCTGGTGTCCCCCCGCCGTGATGTTGCTGGAATATTGCTAAAAGCGGCGTCAAACCAAAACTCAGTCAGTCATTCCTATTGAAATTCGATATTATCATCATGCTGTATCAAATGATAGGTTGTTAGATAGAATTATAGCAGTTAGGCTAAAACGAGAACTTTATTCGTTTGGAACGTACATTGTCTTTATACATACGAGATTGATAGTGAGTTCACTTGCAAACTGAGGGAGATTGTGTCTCAAACAATAAATCTTAAGCAACATGATTGGTGTTCTGTTGAAAAGCTGCAGAACCTTACACGCAAGTACTTTGTATCAACTTCGATCATCACATATGTTATCACAATCACGCATTATCTATCATGTGGTACAGATTACTTTATCTGTCTGTCTGATAAGTGGTTTATCATTATGTTTATGCGATTGTCTTGAACAAAGGTGATATTCACGAATTTATACATCTTGATAGGGGTAATAAACCGCTCAGATAATGATCTTTTGTACGTTATACCGTATACTACTGACTGACTGAGTTTGGTTTTACGCCGCTTTTAGCAATATTCCAGCAACATCACGGCGGGGACACCAGACATGGGCTTCACACATTGTACCCATGTGGGGATTCCAACCCGGGTCTTCGGCGTGACGAGCCAACGCGTTAACCATTAGGCTACCCCACCGCCCCTATACCGTATACTAGGCTCGTATGAACAATTAAATACCGATATATATATATATTTCACAACACTTCACTGAGTTGATAGCTTGAGGTAAAGAACATTTTACAACACTTCACAGAGAGTTGACAGCTTGCGGTAAAGAATAATTTCCAGCATTTAGTATTCGTAGATTATAAAACTGATACATATGTACATCACTTACCACGAGACCGCCTCTGTGGTGTAGTGGTTAGAGCGTCCGCCCGGAGAGCGGAAGGTCGCGGGTTCGATCCCCGACAGCGTCATACCAAAAGACGTTAAAATATGGTACTTGTTGGTCCCTGCCTGGCGCTCGGCATTAATGGGTACAACAAGGACTGATCGGCTCGGAGTCAGTATAATGTGTCTGAGTGGGGTATCCATGCTTCACTGCGGCATGTTATCTCAGAGGGCTAGCACTATATAAGAAAAACTGGGTACCTCATGTAACAAACCAATTGAAACAATTTCACATATCTTATGTAAATGTGTATATTCTGTTGATATGTGGGAAAAGCTATTAGAATCGATTGGAAATTATACAGAAGGCAGAATCACCTTCAGTGAAGAGCATATATTGTTTGGCTTAAAGAGTAAACATAATAATCCTTTGAATGTTGTTATCATGATAACAAAATCTTCCCTTTACAAATTTAATAGAAAAATGACGAAACCAAGCTTTTTAACATTTCAAAAAGAATATTGAAATCGGTTTGCGCTTATTTAACGCTTTATACAGGTTCCTAATATGAAACGCATTCCATTGTCAATCAAGTAAATCAGGTGAATACAGAAAAATTTACATGATTTATATTTGCTTTGGTATTACTGTCTGTGTGTTAATGTCCCCAATATCTTATCAGTTGTCCCTTATTTGATGTACCGACTGTTTGAAATCACCCACCCTCTTTACAACGCCTTATGCCCAAATAAATTTAGCTGGCTAAAGGTCAAGAGTAACTGGGCCTGGGCCCAGGGCTGGTGTAGGGGTTTCCTTTAACAACAATTACCAATGCGACATATAAGTATACAACAGCAATTTATTCCCCAAAGTTGTACATAATGTATACATACACACAGTGTACTAGTTGAATTGTATCAACTTGAACCGTATTTTTACACGTATCTGCCAAAGTGCAACAGGATCATAAAAGCAACACTTTTTACATAAGAAACGACGAAACCACTTTATTTCATTAACTTACACAGTGACTTTTCGTTTCGTGGTATTTTGTGTTAGAGGAATGTTTTACCAAAAGGATAAGTTTTTCTTCTGCTAGAGCGGGGAGAATTTTTTTGTGCTTCTTGACAAAGATACTCAAATATATCCACAAAAACAGCATTGGTCAGAGAAGCGTCAACAACGGACACAGAAGCATTTGATAAAGGAGTTTTGTTGTTACTTGGATTTTGCATCAATGTCTTTGGAAAATTGTCTTTTTCACTCTTATCACGTATTTCTTTCTCGGGGTCCTTGTTCAGCACATCGCATAATTGAGTCTTGCTTTTTTCAGGCGTTGACATTCTACGCAATATCTGTGCACAAGCGATGAAGGGCGCTTTCCAAATTTGGCACTCTTTCAGTTTAGAAACCACTGTTTCAGGTTGCTTTGTTTTTGGTTTAGTCATTTCCGGGAAAAGACGACTCGTGTCTTCGCTAAGTTTCGCCAATCGGACATGCATGTCCGTTGTCTTGTGTATCATTTGGATGTGGAGTTTCCTTACTGAGTCCACACAGCTGGGTTCATCGAGAGATCGTCTGCAAGGATGATGGACCTTACTTTCTTGCTGTGACTCTAGTAAAACCCTTTTCACCCAAGGGCGAATTGAATGTACCATATATCTTCATCTGATTTACTGCGATGTCAGACTTTCTTTGCTTATGGCGAGATAACATCCCTTGTGATATCGGTGCGCGTGGCATCTGTTCCTTTACAGGAAGAGTTTTGCATGATTCACACGACTTGGACGTAATCAAGGCAGTAGTCAAGCCGGTTTTCCTTTGCTTGAACCACCCGCCAGTAGAGATTGGGTTTCGACGTCGGGGACATACGTCAGAGACATCATCAAACTTACTTCCGGAACTGCTGACTTCATAT